AATTTTTTTATAGGGTATTAGAAATATAGTTTCGTTTTGACATTAAAAATACGAATAAGATGGACCTAATTTTTTCATCAATATGTGCATAAGAAGATGTGTATCTAAAAGGTTTACTTTTGATCATATTGAAGAACTTTGGAAAGTATTCCGTTTGTGCATCTTAACTTTCAAAAGTTTAAAAATTACAACAGTTTCATGTATAAGAAAGTTTATTCTCATTGATATCAAAATAACAAAATATTTCTACCTTTAAACACTGGCATTTAGGTTATTAAAGACAAAACAATAGCTATTTCAATATATTTTGTACATTCAAGGGCAATAACTCCAATTGTGGTGCTGGTTATCTATCCTGAGCCACCTTTCATGTCCAGATACATTGTAACTAAGTTTCATAATGATCCCTTGAATATTATCTAAACTATGGAACAAACACTAGTTATTCCAACATGTTAATATGATTAAAGAGCCATGTAACTCTTCAACACCCATGGTATTTTTGCTTCTTAGTGACTATATATACACTTTGGCCATGTTAAGAAACCACCCTACAGGTATTGCCTAAGTAATTGGATGGCCAAAGATAGCTTCATCAATTTTCAGTTTTCTAGGGGCCATAACTCATGAGTGCCTTTCTTTATTTTGATAGTAATTTAACTTTGACTATGTCTGTTTTAAACTAAGTTTCAATATAAACCTCTAAAAGGCCTCAAGAATTTTGAATGAACACCATTTGCAAAAACATTCACCTTCCTAAACCAACAATGTACAATGCTATCAAATATGCTCTCAAAAATGGCATATAAAAATGTAACTGTCATAATTATAACAAATATCAGATTAACATTTTATGTATTGAAAATACATTATTTTCAAACTCTAATATTTGAACCTACAGCAAAAACATGTCAACATAGCTTCAAAATGTTTTTGCTCAAATCCCTTATTACTTCATATAGATTGTTCATCTGCGTTGTAACATCAAACATTTCACAAAATATCCATAGCAATTGTAGTCATCAGTCAGAACCATGACCCATTTATACATCACCATGACACATTTAAACATAACCATGGCCCATTTAAACTTCTTTACAGTATTCCTAATACAATGTGCTCATTTTATTAAGATTTTAAGGGAATGTACATGGATATATCTACACATCAAGTAAATTTACATTACCTTAAGTAAATGTATATCATGTGAATGTTCATAAAGTGTACATGCATCAAATATTGTAAATGTTCAATTAGGTAAACGGACCTTTGTACATTAATTAAACTCACATTATGCGTTTATTGATCAAATATTGTAACAAGATATGTTTGTAAAACATGTATGCCCCCTATCAGCAGCCAATTATTCATGTGATAAGGTAATTATGCATGACTCCTGACCCAGTGATCAAACAATTAATAAGGGTTATCAAGTATCTACTGGTCATGACCTTGACCTTTGACCCCTTGACCCAAAACTCAATAGGGGTCATCTGCTGGTCAAGACAAATCATCATACAAAGTTTGAAGTTCCTAGGCCTAAGCGTTTTTACTTAATTGATCAGAAACCGTTTTTACTTACAAGGTCAATGTGACCTTGACCTTTGACCCCTTGACCCCAAAATCAATAGGGGTCATTTGCAGGTCATGACTAATCACCATGCCAAGTTTGAAGTTCCTAGGCCTAAGGGTTCTTTTATTATTGATCCGAAACCGTTTTAACATACAAGGTCAATGTGACCTTGACCTTTGACCCCAAAATCAATAGGGGTCATCTGCTGATCATGACCAATCACTATGCCAAGTTTGAAGTTCCTAGGCCCAAGTGCTCTTTAGTTATTGATCAGAAACCGTTACTTACAAGGTCAATGGGACCTTGACCTTTGACCCCTTGATCCCAAAATCGAAAGGGGTAATCTGCTGGTCATGAAAAATCACCATACCAAGTTTGAAGTTCCTAGGCCTAAGCGTTCTTAAGTTATTGATCAGAAACCGTTTTTACTTACAAGATCGATGTGACCTTGACCTTTGACCCCTTGACCCAAAACTCAATAGGGGTCATCTGCTGGTCACCACCAATCATCATACAAAGTTTGAAGTTCCTAGGCCTAAGCGTTTTTAGTTAATTGATCAGAAACCGTTTTTACCTACAAGGTCAATGTTACATGACCTTTGACCCCTTGACCCTAAAAACAATAGGTCATCTGCTGGTCATGACCAATCACCATACCAAGTTTGAAGTTCCTAGGCCTAAGGGTTCTTAAGTTATTGATCGGAAAGCATTTTTACCTACAAGGTCAATGTGACCTTTCCCTTTGACCCCTTAACCCCAAAATCAGTAGGGGTCATCTGCTGGTCATGACCAATCACCATACCAAGTTTGAAGTTCCTAGGCCTAAGGGTTCTTTAGTTATTGATCGGAAACTGCTTTTACCTAAGAGGTCAATGTGACCTTGACCTTTGACCCCTTGACCCCAAAATCAATAGGGGTCATCTACTGATCATGACCAATCACCATACCAAGTTTGAAGTTCCTAGGCCTAAGGGTTCTTTAGTTATTGATCCGAAACTGTTTTTACCTAAGAGGTCAATGTGACCTTGACCTTTGACCCTTGACCCCAAAATCAATAGGGGTCATCTACTGATCATGACCAATCACCATATCAAGTTTGAAGTCCCTAGGCCTAAGGGTTCTTTCATTATTGATCGGAAACCGTTTTTACCTACAAGGTCAATGTGACCTTGACCTTTGACCACTTAACCCCAAAATCAATAGGGGTCATCTGCTGGTCATAACCAATCACCATACCAAGTTTGAAGTTCCTAGGCCTAAGGGTTCTTTTGTTATTGATCGGAAACCGTTTTTACCCAAGAGGTCAATGTGACCTTGACCTTTGACCGCTTGACCCCAAAATCGTTAGGGGTCATCTACTGATCATGACCAATCACCATACCAAGTTTGAAGTTCCTAGGCCTTAAGGTTCTTTACTTATTGATCGAAAACCGTTTTTGCTTACAAGGTCAATGTGACCTTGACCTTTAACCCCTTGACCCCAAAATCAATAGGGGTCATCTACTGATCATGACAAATCACCATACCAAGTTTGAAGTTCCTAGGCCTTAAGGTTCTTTAGTTATTGATCGGAAACCGTTTTTGCTTACAAGGTCAATGTGACCTTGACCTTTGACCCCTTGACCCCAAAATCAATAGGGGTCATCTACTTGTCATGACCAATCACCATACCAAGTTTGAAGTTCCTAGGCCTTAAGGTTCTTTAGTTATTGATCGGAAACCGTTTTTGCTTACAAGGTCAATGTGACCTTGACCTTTGACCCCTTGACCCCAAAATCAATAGGGGTCATCTACTTGTCATGACCAATCACCATACCAAGTTTGAAGTTCCTAGGCCTTAAGGTTCTTTAGTTATTGATCGGAAACCGTTTTTGCTTACAAGGTCAATGTGACCTTGACCTTTGACCCCTTGACCCCAAAATCAATAGGGGTCATCTACTTGTCATGACCAATCACCATACCAAGTTTGAAGTTCCTAGGCCTAAGGGTTCTTTAGTTATCACTCGGAAACCATTTGGTCTACGGACCGACGGACCGACAAGTGCAAAGCAATATACCCCCTTTTTTTCAAAAGGGGGCATAAATACATGTCAAGTGTACACTTGTCATCAAATGATCTAAATGTACAATTAGCAAATGTGAAAAGTAACGGTACATTAAATTAATGTAAATCTATCAGTCTCTAGAATCTCATCTGGCTCTGTGACGTCTTTTTTCTTTCTTTGCAAGTCTAGCTTGATCTGAAAGCAACAAAAACAACAGTTCTAATATACAGTAAGATGTTAATTCAACATATTGGCTGGGTTTGTAGTCAAATAGTAACATATGGTTGTGCTTTAAAGTCAAATAAATAAATAAATAATATTGTTGAGATTATAAAACAAATTCAATTTCTACTGATAAAAGTTGACTTCAGGTGATTGACAACACAAGGGAGGTAAATAGGGCATACATATATATATGTTCTAATTTACTACATAGTTGTTATAAAGATGCAAATTCCATAAAAAACCTTAACAATATGATAACCTATACAAATGTATTTAGTAAGGAGTCAATATTTTATTTGGTTGGGTATAACATGGCACCAACACAGTATACCAAGATAGGTCATATGGTGACCTGCCAGTTTTACTGGTGGAGGACGACCAGAGTAGAACCACCTACGTTCCGTAACATGAAAGAATCCAAGATTAAAACCCACAGAGGTGAGGAGCAAATGGTTTGCAGTGAACAACCTTAACCAAACGGCCATGGATAACCCCCATGATATTTACTTGCAACATGTGACTGAAACATTCGAATCAAGACTCAGTGTACGAAGTTGATTTTCAGATCTGGATATTTGTACAAAATGAAATTTCACAAATTTTACTTACTGCTCTCTCGTTTAATATCACGACCATACAATCTTTTCTGTTTAAAATCAGCAGCTAACTGTGCCACTGTTTTACTCTGTCTGTCTAAATGCTTCAAGTCTGCCACCTGTACTCCACTTGCACTTCAAAAAAACATTTATGTCACGGTTTAGAACAGTTCATTATAAAGGGGAGAAGATGAGTACCCTAGCGGACAGATAGCTCAGTTGGTAGAGGCATGGAACAGTATTCCGAAGGTCCCAGGTTCGAGTCCTGGTAAGGCTGCACATTTTTCTCGCCCTGTAACATTTGGCACAAATGTGGGACTATGACTGAATATAGCTCAGAGTTTAATTCACATGGTTCTGTACAATATAGCATGGTGTATAAAACGATTTAAAATGGTTCACTATATAGGAGAAAAGAATGTAAGCTGCTGGATATCTCAGTCGTAAGGTGGCAGAATAGTTTTCTGAATGTTCTGGGGTTGAGTCTCAGTCAGGCTGCACACTTTTTTTCACACTGTGACAACTGCAGTAAAGTTCATTGTATTACCATTTCATAATCAGGTTTGTTTAATCACATAAACCATATTATACCTTACCATGCTAAATATGTTAAATGTACTTATCGATCTTTCAATATGGACTAGTCCATTCATCATTAAAATTTCAAAAATATTCTGACCAAAGATCAGATGACATAGACAGGCTGGCTGATCTTGGTCTGCAGTGGACACTGGCTAAAGATTAAACTAATATTTTTCTTTGTTTGTAACTTGAACCTTATGTCATGTTAAAAGATCGTTTTCAACATACCTGTCAGTAAATGCAATAAAGTCCTCCCTTAGCCCATCTTTTGATCTATGTTCAGCCCCCACATCTTCCTCTACCAAACTTTCTGAAAAGACAATCACACAAAGAAATACATAAACAATGATTACTGAAATGTCAAAAAATAATTATTTAAAAATTATGTCAAGCATTACAGTAGGGGAGACAACCCAATATGTTAACATGATGACATTGTACAAGTTATTGCTGCCATTTTGACACACACTTTTAGTTGAAAAAGACAACCTAGAAAAGGGGGCATTATTCTGTAAACATGCATAGCAGTGAAAAATACCTAATATCCTTTAAAGTGACATTATGCCCATTCATGAGTAAATAGTAAGTGAAAAGGTGAAAGCACAAAATCAGTTTACATTTTGCCATTTTATAATTTACTTCAGACGAGTGATTAATTACTTGCATGGCCCAAGGAAATATCAATTAACATCCACAAGATTTTACATGTAACCTTCAATAAAAGACAGCAGCAGTCTTTTAATATTTAAGGCAGATTTATATTTTATCCTAAACTTTTTTCAATATCAAATAATGGTCAAATGCCATCGTAATAGTCAATTTTTTAATTTATACTAATAAACTTTAGTTTGTTTGTGTTGAAAGCTTTAAGCTTATTGAAACACTCTCGAATCCATTCCTGGAACCAACCAGTAATAACTTACTCATTGCTAGTAAGCAATGAGTGTAAAGTTTCTTGGTCACAAAAAAAGCACAGCTTGTCCCTGTTTGAACCTACATGACTAGTTATCCTTAGATGTTAACACACTTTGCCATGCCATCACTTATATCTTTTGAAATGAATAATTAGTAAATTCAGCTCAAATTGACAACGGAAACATGAGCATAATGTAGAGCTGTCATCGATAGAAACAATATTGTTTTACTGCTGATATTTTTCTGTTGATTAATAATCGATACACTACACATTGCAAAAAATCAATAATTTTGACTAATTAATTAAATAAACAAGTAAATCAAGAAAAGGAGAGAATACACATCAAACATCAGGATGGTTTGTAACTGATTTATTCTAGGATCTACCGGTTTCGGTCTTTCAAGACCTTCATCAGGATATATTTCAAAGAAAAATGATTACTGAAGTACTAAAAAAGACGGGACAGAATGTGACGTATGTTACTATAAATAGATATATAAATGAGTTTTTCTGGGCAAAATGCCAAGTTATTTTTCACATATTAAAATGTTTCAAATGTTGGTTAACCACAGATCATATCTATGTCAATGGCCAGTTTTACGGCATGATTAAAAGGTTGATATTCGACTAAAATGATTGTTTTACTTAATTAAATGTGTAGAATTTAGAAAATATCACCAAAAACATTACATAGAAGCTCAACACTATGTTGTTGTTACATAACATAAATATTTCATAGCAATGATGACAAAAAAATGTCAGGAAAAAATCATGCATTGCGTGTTTATAAATTAGACATTGAACTGAACATGACTGTATTTTACTGAAATCATTTAAACAAGTATTAAAGTGAACAACAGAAAAGGTTATTTCTGATATATCTGTGTATCATTGATATCTGTCATCTGATATCAATATATTATTGATAAGCTATGCACAGAATCAATGACAGCTCAAGGCCGTCTGGTTGGCTCATTAGGCAGTGTTGGATTGTAAATCTGGCGACCAGGGTTTGATTCCCAGATGGCGCAGGTCACTTTTATTGTGATTAATCATGAAATCCCTTCTAATATGGTCATTCGCACTGTACCTCTGCTCTTGTATGAACAGAAGTACTCAGTTACTTACGAAAGTGAAAGGCAACTAGTACTGGTAAATTTCTTGACAGCCTGCCTAGGAATGAAGCAGCGGCTGAACAGTGGCTCTGGTAAATTCAATGTGGCTTACTGATCCAGAGAGAAAACTTCCAATATTTCCAATGACAGCTCTAGCATGATGTCCAACAAAGTTTCAAATGAATACATGTACCTGTACCAGTTTTCGAGAGAAAGTAAAATATTTTAAGTCAAACCCTTTTAAATTTACCTGTCTTCTTTTTCTTATGCCGTCTCTTCCTGCCATCTTCATACCTATGACCTAAAACTGTTTTAACTTTGTCAGTTTTCTGTACTTTTTTTGGTATTTCATCAGCAATGCTCTGCAGAAAATCATCAGGTAATTTTGCGCTTTCTAGATATTCACGTTTCTTGGCCTATGTGAAAGAAAATATATAGTTAGTAGAAAAACACCTTGAAAAGGAACTACTGTATGTTCCAACTTGATTGACAGGGTTGAACAATGATAAAGGTACACAAATCTTTCATTTCCTTTTTACACAGTTCTCTCCCCTTAATTTTAGATTTGTTCATACATTAATGTCATCTAATAGTTCCTCAGTATATACATGCTTAAAGCTTTAATTCATATCTTTGTGTTAATCAACTTGTCTAGTTTTTAATCTAAACCAGTCGACTAGATCCAAATATTAAATTAAGTTTGCGAAGGTCTAAAATAAAATCAAACTGATATTACTTAGATGTTAGATTTCACCATCAACAAAAGGGCAACCATCGTTCATGTAATAAAAAGCCTTGGTACACAATTCGTTGGGCTAATATAAGGACATTATATAAGTACCTTCTGTTCTTTAAACTGAGCATCAAGCATTTTTCTCTTGCTTTTCTTCTTTTGTTTCTCCGCATCTACTTGTCTCATGGCAGATCGAAGTTGTGTCAGTACTGACTGTCGGCTGTCATGGAAACCAATGTCTTCCGGCCCTTCATCATCACTGTCTGTTTCTGGTTTTTCTTGTACATCTTCAGGGTCAGAATCCTCGCTTCCTAATATATTTTAAAAGTTAAACCATCATTATTTTTTTTTGCAATTACTTATCTTAACTTGTTTTGAATATTTGTATGACATGGTCTACTGTCTCGCATGTAAACAAGTTTAGACAGACTTTCATTACGTTTTAAAACAAGAGCTGTCCGTAAGACAGCGCGCTCGACTTTTTTATTGCTTGCCAATAAAAAAAGTTTTTGCAGTAAAAGGCAATACAAGAATCTCTGTATTTTTAAAGTGAACAATGGCCATGAGCATTAAGATATTTAGTGAAGAATTATTTTACTGAATTGTGTGATACCCTTGAACACTGCAGCAAAGTTTGAAATGTTTAAGTCAAAAGAGGGCTGGTAAGAAAGAAAAAAAAACTGAGTTGAGCCTTTTATGGTAAAGTGAACAAGTGGATAGGAATGAATTTTTTTAGATTTTTTAAGTTTTTTAGTGCTTGCCTATAATACAAAACATTGACAGTTAAGGGCCATAATTCAAATAAAATCTTTGACAGAATTACCTTCTCCTGGACATGTTTGGGAATCATGATTGTAAACAAGTATTCCAACTTTCAAATTAATATCTCAAACAGTTTCAGTCAAAAAGTGGACTGGTACTAAAAACTTAACCAAGATTCTAAGTCGATAAAAGGCCTTAATTTTTAAAACAAATCCTTGACAGAGTTACCTTCTCTTGCGTACAGATGGGGGTAATGATGTGAAATAGCATTAAAAGTTTCAAAGCAATATCTCAAAGGGTTAAGGCAATAAGTGGATTTTACCCATATTCAATGTATTTTCTAAGTCAAAAAGGGGCATAATTCTGTCAAAAACCTTGACAGAGTTATGTCCTCTTGTCTGTTGATGAAGGTCGTGATGGTAAACAAGTATGGTCAGTTTCAAAGCAATACCTCCAATGGTTTTTGAAATAAAGTGAGGTGGTACAAAAAACTTAACCAAGCTCAATACACTTTCTAAGTCAAAAAAGGGCCATAATTCTGTCAAAAACCTTGACAGAGTTATGTACTCTTGTCTGTAGATGGAGGTTATGATGGTGAACAAGTATGGTAAGTTTCAAAGCCATACTTGTAATACTTCTGAAATAAAGTGGGGTGGTACGAAAAACTTAACCAAGGTGTGACGCCGACGCCGACGCCGGGGCGAGTAGGATAGCTCCCCTTTTCATAGAAAAGTCGAGCTAAAAAAGGTCACATTTTTAGTAAATTTTACCAACGCTTCAATTTTATTAAGATACCAAGCTACGAAACCTTACTGACCTACATGAATTTCAAGCATTTATGTTATCGCGTGTCATTTCAGTCATACATAACATACTTTATCACTTTCTCTCACACATGCCAAATCAATTTATAGAAAAAATCAAAAATTGAGAAAAAATAATTTTTTGGTTATATTTGTACAACAAAAATCTTTTTTTTCTTCTATTTTTAAATTTCTTAATATATGGATATTATATTACATGAATAATAAGATTAAAGTTAAAACAAATTGAAGGTCAAATCAATGCGACCAGCACCTTTACATGTGCGTATGGCCAATATTTTCACCATAATCAAAATAAAATGTATCATGATTTTCTTTCTGTTTGCAAGAAATTTTTTTACAGTAAGTGTTCAAATATCCAATTTATTTGAATTATGCTGTCAGTGTTCGCATTTACTGAGTAAACATATCAATTTACTCACTAAAATTGCCAGGGAGGAAAGAAAAAAAAAGGTTAAGTCCCTGGGACGAAACACTTTTCCCCCGATAATCGGTTAATTCTCTGACTTAAATTTTTTTGCTCTGATTAAAAATGGATTTTCTAATAGTATTCACCTTAAATAAATTGTATTTTAAGAACTTGACTTTCATCTCATTTTGATTTGTTCCCTTTTCATAAGCAATGCAGATTTATAACCCAAACGTAGACTAGGAGCAAGTGCTCGACCTCGTTTTTGGCCAACCTATCAATGGTATCCGCTATTGTTACATCAACAGTCACTGTTGTCAATATGTTTTGACATAAGAGACTGTTCCGTTGCTAAGTAGGAAAATGTTACCTTTGAAAAGGTAAAATACACATGTAAATACAGTCAACTATCGTTATCTTGACATCGCTTTTCTTGATATTTCGTTATCTCGATGAACTTTTGAAAGTCCTGATTTTCTTCCTTCTTTATCTATATTGAAAATATTTGTTTATCTCGATATTTTTATTTCGATATTTTCAGAATCTCGATGTAAAATTTTAGCCCCAATAGTTATTTTCACACTATTATCCTTTGTTTATCTCGAGTAATAGTTTTCTTTCGTCTGTTCCTTCAGACGTGTGAAAAACACAAACTAGACAATAATTGCTCAATAGCCCGTGTCATAATGATGATTATGTTTGTAACAAGTTAAGCTTTTTTTTATAAAAGTTCATCTATTTAGCGTGTTGATTGACTTATGTCCAAAATTAGTGAATTTTACGTTTTTAATAAATAATCGAACACTGTATCAATTCATTTTGACTTTAAATGTAAATGAAATAGTGAAGGTATAGAAACGCTATCGTTGCAATACTGTTTCACAACATCACCACCAAATCCATCAGCGGTGGAACAATCTTGATAACTAACCCAGGAGGATATTTGGATCAACCACCCTGTATTTTTTTTTCACTATATTGGTGTATTACTGAGTAAACCTCACTATGTGTTTTTATCACAGACACCCGTATTTCCACTGGTAAGCATCCGCTAATGTTACTTTGTTAAATATTGACTAGGCCTATGAAAACAAGACATGGGGATATCATAGTTTATTTGACATAAGGTATGCACATGTCTTTTGTAAAAATCAGTTTCTGCCTTATTCAAACCCTTATATGTTTATCTCGACATTTTGTTATTTCGATATTTTTTGGACGGTCCTGATGACTTCGAGATAACGAGAGTCGACTGTATGTACAAAAATATAGAAGTATTTAAATAAACCCTTATCCATTGCTTATAATAATGCTAGATATTTAGTAAATTTAAGTAACCAGCAGTCTCTTTTCCACATTCTTTCGAGACTGGAGACCGTTTAAGAGTAAAGACTGTAGACCGTACATTTGCAGGCTCTTCAACATGACGAATTGAACATGACTGTTAATGTTTTTTTAGTTTATTGACCTTCAGTCCTAACCTCTTTAATATTATTCAAGAGCACACCGAGGGGTGAAAGCGAAAAGGTTCTAAGTGCATTTTCCAAAATTTTACAGGAGAAGCAAAAAACTGTCTCAAATGTTTGTAAAATAGCAAAATTCCACAACACTTTGATTTTACACATAAAAAAATTAAAGAAACCTGTCAATGATAATAAAAATGCTAGGAAAGACTTGGCAAACAAGATATTTAATCAAATGTAACTTAGAACTGTTCCGCACTTAAAATTTCTCATATTTTGATTTTTATGTTCAAAGCGAAAAGGTTCCAAGTGACATTTTGATAGAACAAAAGCATGTTTTTTTTCTTATTTAATTAAAGATAGAGCAACATTTTGGCATTTCTAATTATATTTAGTAAGAGATTGAGTATAAATTGCCAGATAGGACTGTTTCGCACTTACTTTTTATTTTGATTTCATATTTTAGGTGTGAGACATTCGCTTACTCCACTTTCAAGTTCATGAAATTTTAAGTTTGACTGTGTTTAAATTAGAAACATAAATAAAGGTCATAATTGATAGTGTACTAAGCTTTTAAAGAACATCATGGGCATTAATCACACCTGAAAAACAAAAAGCAAATGCCAATTAATTTGATAATCATTTTAAGCTGAACTATACAAAGTATATGGAGAGCTGTCCTCCTTGCCATTGTGTCCGCGTCCAGATTTCAGATTAAAGTTTTGGTGCAGTAAAATACTTATGGTATCAGCTTCAAACTTCAGATATATGTCCTTGGCCTTGGTGGTCAATTCCTATGTATCAAAACTCCAAACCGGTGTTAAATAGCCAATAAACACCGGTAAGATCGATATTATTTCTTGATCATTACATGTTGTGTGACATGGTACATAACTCTAGCGTTACTACCTCGAGAATTATTCCCCCTTGAACTTTGAATTTATGTTAACAAATATAATTTTTTTACTATAACTTCTTGTCATATGGATAAGAGTTATAAAATGCAAGCTCCTGTATTCCCAGCATTAATTAATTATCCCCATTTAATTTTTGAAATTCATTTGTAAATTGATTTTTAAGTATTATCTTTATTGTTATAAATGGTATCTGCTCTAGACTTAAGATAAATAATGGTTCTTTTTCATTAGTCATGCATGACAAGGTTCATAACTCTAGCTTCTTTTTTCAAGAGTTGTTTCCAATTTGAACTTATAACTTACTTTAAATTCTTTTTGCTTTTATCATTTTTGTTTTTGAAGGGCTTGACTTGACTTGCAGTCTTTCCATTAAAGTAACATTAATGTTATTGACAAGATCATTATGTTGTGCAAAATATAGAACATTTGACTGCTTTCTTGATACTGATACAAAAATATATTTATATCATAATTGATTTTTCTTTCATAGTTTCATCTTCCTTACTGCATCCAGTATTTGAAGAGTCAAGCTTCGCTGTCTTCTGTGACAGCTCTTGTTATCTTGCATTTCCTGTCATATTCTTTAATATTCAAAATAAAACAGTTACATTCATATTCTTTCATAATCATATTTAAAATGGTTACCTTCAATAAGATATTTATTCATGGAAATTAATGTCATTTCATCCACAACTATTTTCTAACAATAGTTTATGTATTAATTTTTAAACAACTTAAAAATTATAAGCGGCTTAATGCGGTCATCCTTAGCCCATAGGTCCATTCTAAAATGCGCCAAAATGACACTTTCTTTTTATGCTGTTCATAAATAAAATACGCTTAAATGATGCAACTTATCTGGCATCACCATAGGATATGAGTCTGATTCTGATTTAGATCGGGAAAATCCGATTCAGCCAGTGAATTCGATTTTATAATTTGTTCTGATTACCACTGTTTGAACCAATGAGATTACAGCTATTTTGAAATCACAATAATAGTGAACAATATTCTCTGAAAAAAACTTTTTGGATTTGTCTGAAACTTCATTCAAAGTGCAAGAATATCTTTGCAGTAAACAGTTTCACAAAAAGTCCCAGAATATATTTGAACTGAAAATATATTTTACAAATTGTGCACACTTGAGACACCCCCATGTAGCAACAATGCATAGAAGAGATGATATGTCTAAAGGCCAAGTCCCAAAGGCCACCTTCATTAGCATAAGTGTGACCCATAACTATACTTTATTTTACATTGTTTATATACATCAAAGTCACCCATAGCTCCACCTACATTAAAATTTTTCAATATCTCAGAGGCACACATAGCTCCACTTTCATTCATGTTACTTAATATTTCAGTGTCACACATAGCACCAGCTATATTTACACAACTCAGTTTCTTGGACCCACACATAGCTCCAAGTTCATTTGCAATGCCCAATATATCAAAGTCACAATATCTTGTAATTTTGTCTATAACCTTTCCTACCTTATCATACCCAGATTTCTGATTATCATCAAAAAATCGCTTTTAACCATTCTAAATATCTCACTATCACCTGTAGTCTCACTTTCAAGAACATCACCTGATATCGTATTGTCATCTAAAGTTGTGGTCTCATTTACTCCTGGCAGAGCCCAGGACCACCCAGGTAAGTTACTTGATCCGGGGTGAAATTTTTGTTGCGGTCACACTTACCCCGGCAGCACTACTGTAATTCCCAACTAACACACAGGATGCCCCCGGACCATCCAGGCAGAGCCCAGGTGAAGCTCTGGTTCATGCCGGTGCTTACCTGGTCATTCCTGGATGACGCGGGCAGAGCCCCAGTTGACCAAGGCAGAGCCCCAGTCGATCCTGGCAGAACCCAGGACGATTTTGGCAGAGCCCCGGTAGCACCCCAGTGGATTGAAAACGTGCAAAAATGATGACGTTGATACATCATTTTCATTAATATAATTCTAAATAATATTTTCTCCTATCCAATAAGTAATTCATGATGATTTTCAGAATAATCCTTATGCAAGACTGGACAGAAGGGAAATGGGGAAAGGGTTTTATTACAAACAAGTGCAATCATTGCAAATTGCCGTAATTCTTTTGAAATGAACCGGGCTTTGCCGGGGCTCTACAGGAATCAACAGTAGCTCCATCGTCATCCTCCGGGGCTCTGCCGGCTTTCACAGGGGCTCTGCCGCATTCACCGGGGCTCTGCTGGCATTCACCGGGGCTCTACTGTAGCTCTACCGGCTATATCATACCCCGACTCATCCCTAGTTTGTGTCAGCAGAGCTACAGTGCTTCCCTGGCGTAACCCGGTCATTCTGTCATTCCCGGCAGGGCTAAGGATGAAGCTGGTAAAGCTATACCTTCCCGGATCACCCCGGTGATATTAAATATTTTATCCCATCTAGGGTCGAATGCCGAATGTTCCGGATCATCCTGGAGGTTGCAGGCAGAGTTATGAATGTATCCCGCTTGTTCCTTGATCATCCCCAGACGTCTACCAGGGCTCTGCCAGGGTGTGAGACCACAGCTTAAAGCTAAAACTTTCTTCAATTATGTCCCTGGATTAAGTACAACCAGCTAAAGCATCACTTTCAGTAACATTATCAGATTTCTTACCGTCATCTATAGCCCTACCTTTAATATCATCACACAAAACCCTTTAAGATAGTGCATGATCATTACTTTTCATGTACACTTAGAACTGTTTCCCTTTTAAAAAATTGATTATTTCATGAGTGGAGTTAACTGCGAAACAGTTCTAAGTACTTAAGTTTTCTTCCAAAATCAAGACATCTACTCTGAAACTAATGAATTTCTTATGTGATATTATTTAATAATGTACAATAAAAGGTTTAGCTTTCAAAATTGCTTTGATTGCTCTTATTTTAATGCAGTTTAAGTTGTTTTTATTTAATCTTGTACATTTTATACTCAATGAAAGCGAAAAGGTTCTAACTGCCATTTGCAGTTAGAACCTTTTCGCTTTTCACAAAAAAGGTTAATTTCACTTAGAACCTTTGGACAATTTTTCATTTCACCCTTTTATAAGTAAACTAAATCTTATACGAGGGTTGTCCCAATATTCTGTGACAAGATTGATTAAAAGCTAAATAAAACAGGTACGAATTTGATATTTTAATATGTTATAAACCCATATAATCTTAACATTTTCACAAATTGTCATAGATAAATATCAACAAACAACAGAAATATGCCATAAACACCATGGCAACTAACTGAATCGCGGCGCACGTCCAACGTCAAAGACGGCGTTAAATCTATGTAAGGCGCATTTCTCAAATACTCTCAATGGCTTTCAACGCAATAATGGTACCCATAAATCGTCAATTTCTGACTTAAATCATGTGGTTGTTAATGTCTGTTGAATGTTTGGATGGCATACATTAATTTTTTCTATACGCGAACTTCCGGTCTCGTTACTCCTGATTTTAGCTGTAGGAAATAGGCGACGAAGATCGGTCTTCCTATCCGTGTTTTCCTAATTTTCGCTTTTTGTAGCGCAAAACTCTGGTTCCGTTCATGCCTTTTGTACACAAATGCTCAGAATATGTTGCTTAACTGTTATATTTGGTATATTTGCTGAAAATCGTTACATTTGTCTTCTCGAAATAGTCATGAAACCTGAGTGACATGTTCACTGCGCCGCAAATTCTTCGAACGTCGCCATTTTAACTTTCATATTTTATATGAGATATTTTCATTTATTCGTATCTTTTCAGTTTTTTAAGTTATTTAACTAAAACTTTCAGAGATGATTTAAACATAGCAGCAGAGGAAGTCAACGTGACATTGTGCAGACACATCATAAGATATTTGAAATATACGTAATTAATTTCAGCCTATTCATAACAAAATGTAAATTATTTGACGTGCGCCGGCAACTCAAACCAATGTCGTAAATACTGAAAATTTCTAAGTAACTAGGGTAATTTTTTTGTAAATGATTTGTTGTAATGTTAAATAATAAACTTAACGGTTATATGTGTGAATTATTTTCTATTGGCGCTAAAAATGAACCGGCTATAAAATTTGTCACGGACTTTTGGGACAACCCTCGTATATTTTGACATAAGATGTATACGGGTGTTTATGTTACAAATATAAAAAAAAGTGAATTTTGTAAAAAAAGTGAGTTAGAACCTTTTCGCTTTCACCCCTCGACACAGCCCTCAAATTATAGATAAAGTAACACAAATATGATTGTATTACATTGTCATTTTTGTAATTGAGGACTCGTCCCATTTGAATTATGACGTAACAAATCTATTAGCACTGAGCAGGTACTCCGTAATTTGGGAAAATCGCTAACACTGCTGAGTGTTGAGCAGCTGTGATATTCACAGGGTTGTTAAAATGGCTGGATGAAATTATTCCAAATGTGATGAGAAAAAATGCACATGTTTTATTCGGCATAAAATGAAGAGCATATCTTTTTATCTTTTTGAAATTATGATAATTAAGGGAACCAACGTCTAGGTTCCCTGAGCAGGGTTTGACACAATGGACAACTTTTTTTGACATTGTCAAAATAGCAAAAAACAAGATACATGTCGAGTTTGTAATTATCAGGCAGCTGAAAATGCCAGATCAGCTTATGACATAAAAAATCATAATACATTGTATATGACATAAACAGAAAGAAAAATATTTGCTTACTGTCATTTTGTGAGAATAATATCCCCTTTTTCATGATTAAATAACGCATAATTTTTGAAGTCCTTATAAAATATGTTACATATTATTATTATAAAACAAAATAGAGTAAATAACTTTGTTATGCTTTAATTCATTGCGCGACACCTGTCAGCATTCCTTTCATTCAGGTTTCAGAGAAATCTTCCAAGTAATATGTTCAGCTGATAATATGCAAAAATATTTTGATGTATGGTTTGCAAAATAAATTATCCAATTTGTAGTCAAGTTCGGTTCAAGAAAGTGAGACTGGCACACATAACCCCAAGTGTCTGGGACATTTAACACTGTTTAACAGAAAAGTAAAATTTTACAAAATTATTAAAGATAGCTGTAGGTCTTTACCAAAGTCCTGATCATGTTCTGGTTTTGAATCTTCTGGCTCGTCTTCATTCATGTGAGAAAATGCCTCTGTCTCGAATCTGTCTCCCTGCTCTTCATCCTCATGCCTGTAATACCGTCTTCTCTGTGGCATATTTACACAAATTTGACAGCTAACACACGTGCTTGTTGATTTGAGCACAATTTTCACTGGTAGAAATTTACCTTCGCACCAAAATTTCGGAATACTCGAATTTTTTCATTGTAGCAAAACGGTAAAGCCCGATTTGCGTCGTTCCGAATAAAAAATTCGTAACAACAAGCACAAACTGGATAGTATCTGTGAAAAAATTAGAATTCATAGAGAAATTATAGTGTATCAATGTGAAAAATAGGTTGGTATTTAAGCAAAATATTTTTCTTCTTTTGTTCTGTAACATGATGGAGCAGAGAGATGTTATGGCAATTGAAAACATTAAAAAAAAGTGGTCGCAATAAACGGAACCGGTCTCATGGCCAAATAATCCTGTTTCAAAACATCCTAGTCACAAATAAGAATTTTTTCATGACATGTTAGTTTTGTTTACTTATTCAAATGTAAGAAGTCTATTTAAATGAGAGGTTATGCATTAAACTGAAAAATAAAGGACTGGATTTAACTTTGATAATTTCACACACAACTTGAAAATTTTAAGGAGGTTGACGTCTCCTCGACGTCGATGTCTACTTCGTGGATTTTGTCGAGAAACCCCCGTTGAAGTTGAAGTCTTTGGCAATACTGTGATTTTGCGATAATGTCGCAAAGAAATTGACAAAATCGCACTGCTTTCAAATGTGAAAAAATATAGGATATTACTGGTAAGTCAAAGGCCAGGACCGCGAAGCTTTTGCTTGCTCGGCTATAGACTACATGTACGTCATATATATTTAAAAGAAAATCAAATTTTTTTTTTTTCAAAGACAATTGAATTATATAGAGTGATTGGACACGTCCTCGATCAGCCAGGTCCTCGATCAAAATTTTGTTTTTTATATCTTTTTCAAATAAACTTGATAAAACACGAACTTTCTTTGCTTTGTTTTTCCACTTTACTAAACTCTCACTGAAAAGTAATTAATTTATGCACGGACTTTAATTGATTGTAATATAAATCCGTGATTTATGTGAGGTCAAAGTTCACGCAGCAGACGATTCTAAAAACAATGGCGAAGTTAAAGTAGAAATTACCCAATAAAAAAGTAAGTGCATCTTTTCTCCTTAGCTCTAATAATTATACAAAATATATAAAAATGACAAAAAATAACTACTTTTGATAATTATACAAATTTTTTTTTCTACATAATAAAATTAAGTAAGCTTTTAGCTCTTTTCCCAGGAAGGGGGTGGGTCGATTTCCTACAGTAATCTAGGTCAGGGATCAGCCATTAAGAAAAGATGCTAAATATATGCATATTTTGCCCAAAATACATATTTTCCGCTTTCCTAAGAATAATTAGATATTTTTACATTTTGTCTATAATATCAAAAGTAAAAAAGTAGTAAATTAAAGGATAGATAAACACATAGGTTACAAACCACTATATTTTACTGTTTTTTTTCCCTTGGTTTAACACCACTATATTTGGTGACACTCAATTATATATTTTCAGCAATGCCTAGGTCTCAGAGGACCCACCCAGATCAAATATATAGTGAGGCAAAACGTCTTGTGACCCAAGGCTATTCCATATGTAAAGCAGCTATTGAATTAGGCCTTCCTTTCACCACTGTACAGAACCATATCAATGGGAAATACAAGGGTTATATTACAAAATTTTGGGAAGAGTGTATGTTAAAGCCTGCGGATGACAAATTCTGATAAATTATGCAACATTCATGGCATCAAGAGGCTGTCCTCTTTCTAGATTATTTTTAAAAAATGTTGCAAGAGAGATTATTATCAGTCGTGGAGGTGATTAACGCATGGATCCCAGTAAAGGATCTCAAATAATTCATTTCTATTTTATTCACATTTCTTTTAAATATAAACTCCAAATTTTGTCATACAAGTACTAGTTTAAATATTTTTTTACATTATCATGTCAAAATTAGCTGATCGACGACATGTCCATTATCCTAAGAAAATTAAAAATTTGGTGGTCTATGACCTATGTTGTTATTTTTATATTTAATAGTTGCTCCCTAGCTTAAAATATGACGTTTTACAAGAAGAGTGTCTGGTGATATTTTTCAACGGAAAATATTACTCATACAAGAAGTTTAATTTGTTGGGTGTAATTTTACAATAACATTGATCGAGGACATGTCCACTGAGTCTACAGTATAGAATTCTAACTATACCTATTAATGAAATTTTTTAGTGTCAGTTCTAATTGGGCTCCACCATTTTCAATGTAACTCAATGATATTAGGTGGGGTATTCCAATAAAGAAACAATCACAACTTTTCAGATTAACAATTATCGTCAAGTGTTCCGATTGAAAACAGAAGCTGTGCATGAAATACTGAATGACACCTTTAAAAAAAAAAAATGAACAAATTTTTCTTACCAACTTCCCCGTTCATAGGCTTTGCCTGATTTCATATTAACTTACCATATTTTACTAGCTTGTAGAGCTCCAGCAACTGGGCAATTTGAGTGACTAAGACTCAGCGAAAAATCATAAACTTAAGGTGACCTAGTCTAAGTCACCTTAAGTTTCTGATATTCGCCAAGTTTGAACATCAAAGAGAAATCAAGTTCGTCCTTATTTTACTTACCGCATGTACAGATCTTTTCATATCACAGAGCTCGTGTCAATAAATTAAATCTTCGTCTCTGGGCTTAATTTAGAACTAAATTGGTGATGACAAAGTTACTGCCAACAATTGGCTGCAATTAACACATTTAAATTATGTGACATGATATGCAGCTTCATGAGATAAAGTGCCTCTGCAATTCGCAGATGTAAACATTGCAATTTATTGAGCATAATTTATGAGACACTGTTGCCATGTTTAAACATTTTACACTCAGAATCAGTCTTGCACTAATTGACAGTAACTACCGGTACACGTAACATCAAATCTACCATTTAAATTTACATGTATAAATTGATATACAACAGGAGCACAAGTAAAAACAAATTTTCATGGTTTTCGCACAGGTGGTCGTCCAGTCTTGGTGCCCACTGTGTGGCACACACCTCCATTCCTTCCCCCCCCCAACCCCCCCCCCCCCCCCCCCCCCCCCCCAAAAAAAAAAAAAAAAAAAAAAAATAATAAAATTGAAAAGTTGTTTTTGAAGGTCTAATATTCTTGCTTTTTTTTTAATGATATAAAGGAGTGCAAACCATTTGCCATAGAGTTATTTATACGATTAATCATGTAAATGATTGAAAAAAGAAAATGTCAAACAATTGTTATAAAACAATACGTAAGTCCTGACATGTGAAAGTCCTGACATGTGAAAGTACTGACATGTGAAAGTCCTTACATAGTCCTGACATGTGAAAGTCCTGACATGTGAAAGGATTACTACAAGTGTAGGTCAATATGTAATGCAATATTTATGAAGTATATTTTCTAATATAGCTTGTTGCACAATATATGTATTTTAACAGAATGTTTTGAAAAAGTTACTGATGTTTCAGGCCGATTCTTAGTGTCGCTCAAGGTCAGAATATCAGACTCATTCCCAATGGCAAATATACTTATTTTTTTCCCAATCTTTTAAAAAAAATTCCCAGTCAAACTAAAATTCCCAATATCCTAAATAACAAATATGCTGACGTTCATTCCTGTATCTAACAAATAGAATTTGTCTCCTCTCATTTTATCTTTAAATACTGCTGTTTATGTTATGCTTTGATATTTGATATTGTTATTGTTAAAATAAACAAAGTCACACAATTCAAATACTGCACCAAAAAAAAACTGACTGAAGGTTTCAAACAGTACAAAATATTTTCCCCAATTTAAGCAATTTTATGATGCAAAATTTCTTGAACTGGGCCAGGTAATTTTTCCCAAAAGATTTGCATTAAAGCAATCAGTTTTGTGACAGTAAAATAGTGGTTTGTTTTTTTTACAAATGGGATGTTTTTATTTTCACAAGTGGCTGTTTGTACAAATTTTGACAAGAAGCTACAAGAAGGTTTAGTTAGTTTTGTTGTAAATGATTTAGTTTTTCATATTTTTACAGTTATTTGTAACTTTTTTAGCATAATATGTACATTTGCATTTGTACCTCTTACCTTTGTCAATCATGCTAAATTTATATAGTCTTCACCTTGTGTAAAATTGACTTTAATTTAAACAGATGCATTCACTATTTAATTTGAAATCCATAATCTTTCATGAGAAAAATATTAATTACGGAAAAAATATTTTCCCTGCCTACCTAAACCTGCCTGCCTACCCTACTCTACTCAGACTGGCATGTGTCACAGGAGGGGAAACAAAGATTTAAATTTGTAAGTTAGGCCCATTTGTATATCCGGGACAGTCTGTACATAATCCCAACTCTATACTGCCTTCTCAAATTAATTATGTTTTATTTTGAAAAATCCATAATGTTAATATTATTAAATAGACATTTGCCAATTCAATAAGTTAGTATACAAATTTATCAAGATAAGTGTTAAAATTCCTGACTGGGGCTATCTTGACCCATACATGCTGATAAATCTAATTTTAAAGTGACATATTTATTTATGCTCATTTTTCCATTGTCAAGCTGAATTAACTGTATATTTCAGAAGATTTACAGTTATAATGGTTGTCTTGATACTAGAAATTGTTTAAAATGAAATATAAATTTGCCTAAAATATAAAAAGACTGACCCACTCTTTTCAACCGATAAATTCCAATGCATATTTACAGAAATTTCCTTGGGCCATGTGAGTTATTTATCATTCATGCAAAGTAAATTATAAAATTAAAAGGAATTGTCATATGGCAAAATGTAAACACTTGATGTTGTTCACCTGTTCACTCACTATATACCCTTGGATGGACATAATGTCACTTTAAACCTCCTTCTTTATTTTGGTAGTTTCATAGGTCATAATGTGTTAAGGGGTTAAAGGTCAAACATAATGTCATATAGCACTAGAATAGTAATGTCAGAATTTATTGTAAACCAGTATCATTTTATCTTTTCAGTATACAATCTACAATGTAACGTGTTCATCGATTTGTCAACAAATCCTGCACAACAATAAACCTCCATATAACCGACATAAAGATGGTAACAATATACAGAACTGAAGGAATTTACGTATAAAGTCTTTTTTCTTGACCTGACTGAACACGAATAGTACAGTTATAAAGGGATCGGATACAGTATACTAAATATGTCAAACTCTAGTGGAAATTGTAAAATAACGAGAAACTTAGACTAAGTTCGATCCGTGGGTTGTCAAATATCATGTCTCGTTTATGTAAATTTATGGCATAATTGGTAGAAGAGTGTAGCATTTTAGTTTGAACACATGTTGAAGAGGATTACGCTAAAGTCTGGCGTATGATAAGAAATGGATTGATTTATTACGGAGAGCAAAATTCAAGTGCCTCCCTGTTTGTAAAGCACTACTTTTCTTCAATATAAAGTTGTAGGCAGAATTATTTTATGAAGTCGATCTCTCGAACAGATTTGAATAAAAGTGGATATTTCACTGTGAAACAGTTAACTTTTATCAGCCACTGTTTGAATAAAGTTCTCGATATTTGCTAGGTAATTGAAGTAAAATAAGCAAATAAAGACCTGTTTGATTTTAAAGTGTATTGAAAAAATGCATTGCGTCAGTGTTATGGTTTTTGTCAGTAGTATGTGAAATGCAGTTTGATAGTAAAGTGATAGGTTTGGAATAAAAAGTGAAAAGGGGAGATAAATAAAGGGGAAAACATGACGACAAGGGCTGTAATTCCGCCTTTAAGTGTGGATCATGTACCACAGAAGCAGACTTATGAGATGCTGGAGTCTCGACTTCAAGCCGCGGAAAATGACACTCATCAACTTATCGAACATTTAGGGAGTATGGGGTTCGACACTCAAGTCGGAGGCAAGAGTGGATCGTACGAGACGGTGTCGCCATTTAGAGGTCAGGTGAACCAGGTCAATCAGAAAAACTTTGAAATGTTTAAGAATAACTACGAAACGTTGGTGTCACGAGTGTGTAAAAATGAAAGTGTTCTACAAAGCTTGAAGCTAAATCTAGTGAACCTTCATGGAGATCGGAATTTTAAGCAGAAAAATGACAGCGAGCTGAGAGAGAAGTTTCAATTTGCAAGAGAAGCGTATGAACAGGAAATAGGTGAGATACTTGTTTATTACATACTGTGTGTAACATTTATGTGAGGCTTTGATTAGAATAAGATAACTGATACTCATTTTGTTTTCATTTTAGTTACAGTTCTCTGCATAAGCCTGATCAGTGGCAAAGTAGAGCTCTGGCTTTTGCACAATATATTGCCATCTAATTTTACAACACCATGTACAGTTCATTATTTAAATGCTTTTAAATCACTTATAAATGCTTGATTTGTGGCATGAAGATGTAGCTACATTTACTTAGAAAGAATTTTGGAGAACATTGAATTTAAGTGACTTGGTCAAAATTAAAAAAATCTGAAAATTGTAAAACTCTGACTTTTACATTATATTTATAAATGGTAAGTGTTACTGATCCGATACTACTTAATTTTTGCTGTACAATTTATTTTTTAAAGCATTTGTTTGTTTCAATCTACATGTATTAATAAATGTCAGTGTAAGAAACACTGATTGTGTGTAAAAAAAACTCTGAAGGTATTGAAAGTAAACCCTGATAATCAAATGTGTATTAAAAAACACTGAAATTTTCAAACTGTTCTCAGGTAGTGAAAATAATTACACAAAAAAGACTGAAATTCTACATATAAAATATATCTGACAATTTCATTATCTCTTAACATTAGAAGAACCAATGTTGTTTTATATCATTTTAATTCAATTCAATTTTAGGAAAGTTGACCCGGCAGGTAGAATATTACAAAGAGGAACTGAACTCTGAACATAATGCCAAAGAAAAAGCTAGAGATGAAATCAAAGAGCTTCAGAAAGCCCTTGGACAAGCAGCAGAGACAAGGGTAACTTTTTAAACAATCTCCTCTATTGTGATAAATTGCAATTGATTGTTTTGGTCCATGATATATTCATCTTTGAAACCCTTGAGATGATACTGAATAAATTCATTACCGAATTTATTGAATGAGTTGAATAAAATTATATTATGCCATCCTTTTGCGAGCATCATATTATTTTATTGAACAAGGTAAATAAATTCAGTAATAAACCAACACAAATATAATATTCTATTTATCACATACCCAAAATAAAAACTGTTTACAGTGAAAAAGAATCACTTTTCATCGACTTGTTTATAGTTTAACGCTAACATTTAGCAAGTCTTTACACTATGTTTATTTAACGCAGATGATGTCGCGTCAAAATATATGCATGGCCGTGCAGTACCCTTTTTACTGGCACGAGTATGTGATAAATATTAATCCCTCTTTCTGCTGGAGTCTTAAAGTGATTAGCCTTTTCAACCAGTATAGAACCTGGCCAGTCTGCTCTAACCAGGTCTATTCTGTTTGCTAACCAACTTTAAACATGTTAAAATATTCATATTGATTTCCCCAAATTTATAATGGACATTTCCAAAAAAGGAAGCTGGACAAGTTCATTTAAGAAATTCAGGTAGTTAAAACATGAGTCATTATTTCCGTCATATTTGTAATAAACAATACTAGAAAAGTGTACACTGTGTATAACATAAGTTGAACAAATTTAGTGCATGTGTAAATGATTATTTTATCACATAATATAATAAGGCAAAACACAGAAAATCATAAAATCACTGTATATGAAGCATCATCTTTATATTAAATGAGTGAAAGTCAGATAAATACAGTAAAGACTGTCTTAGCGACCCCCTGTATATAGCGACGTTCTGTCTATAGTGACCATAGTTAGGTGCGCCGAACAGTATTTACTATATAAATGGTCTGTATGTAGCGACTCCCTGTCTAGTCCGTACAACGACCATGATTTAGTCACCCGTTACGGTATTTGAGCCGTGAACAGCGACTTTTGCAAGGGGAGCATGGCTTGAACTAGGTGACGACTTTGGCGAAGAAGTCGCCTTCGGATCAGCGACTTTGTTTCAGTCGCCCGATTTTTATAATTTTCCGTCATACTTATTTACGCCGCTAGGTCTGTTAATAATTTGTTTACCTCTCAATTACAAGCAATTACCGTTAATCCGCTAATTAAGAACGCGTGTCAACATCAACAAAGTTCAATACACGCCGCAAGGCAGAGTTCACTATGTTTATCTTTCTCATTACGTATTCATGCGATTGACGAATCAGAACGCGCGTTGTATCTACGGCAGTTTGCATTGACCAGTTGGCGACACGCTAATACACTGGCTGTTTGTTGACAATTACACAATATGGCGACAAATTCAATCAATTTTCGCCGATAAAATGATTAAAGACACATGCATATACATAATTGCTGCGGTGTTTTGGCGAGTAAAGATAAACAATGCCAAACGTCTTAAAGATGTGGTTATGTTTGAAACCTCGATTGTTAGTTTTTTTCGGAGCACTTATCTGTAGAAATTATGTGGAGATTTGTATCTAATGTTTTATTAATACATTGAACTCCGTAAAGTAAACAGGTAGATTATACAAAATTAAATGTCTCTACAGTAACATCTCATTAGTAAAATTAAAATTAAACATTTTTTTACAAACAGATTTATCAATATAAATTACATTTTAATGAATATGTAACTTTTAGATACTAATGTTATGTTGTAGTTTATAATCTTAACCAATTATACATGTAATTTTAACTTAAACCCTTAGTATGGTTCTATCCTGCTTTTCAACAAAATATTGGTATGATATGTTCATATATCCGAATTATATAGAGACTGTCCACAGTGACTCCCTGTCTATAATGACCTTTTTTCTTTTCTCCCATCGAAGGTCACTGTAAACAGTCTTTACTGTATGTCAAGGTTATTATGTACATTTAAAAACGTTAGTGACATCATGTAATATCAGGTACATTGTATAATGTAATGAAAATGATTTGAAGATAAACACCAGAATTGTATGATATTTTAATGATTTATTGTAGGATATTTAATTATTATAGAGAAATAGGATGAAAAGCTGCACCTCAATTTGAAATCTGAATTTTTTTTTCATTTGTTTGAATTTGAAAAAAAAGAACAGTTGAAACTTGAGACAAACTTTTTATTATTATATTTAGATGGAGGTTGCCATGACAGCTGAGGGATTGAACATGTCTCAGCAAAAACTTCAAAAGAGAATCTCTGACTTGAAGGAGGAGGTATTGAGGGAGCAGAGCCTGCGTGCCAGCCTCGAGGAGTCACACAACACACTGTTAACGAGGGTGAGGGAGATGGAGACTGTTGTAGAAATGGAAAGATCTGGGGTATGTTTTATATTTTACTTATTCACAAAGTATTTAGTCTATGAAAACAAGGAACGTATAAATACATGTATACTTTATTAGCAGTTACATTCAATATAAGAAAGGGAAGAACAAACAAATAAAAATAATATATGGTTAGCCCTGTTTCTTTTTGCAAAAATCAGCAATATTTTAGCTCTTCTTGACCCCCTCTGAAAACTTAAATGAAAAACTTCATTTGGAATGTGCATGCATTTCACCGTGTTGAAATTTTGTGACTCTCTCTGGTTAAACCCTGGATCTACACTGCATCAGTATTAGAATTTCAATTTTGAAATCCCCAATACTCATAATGGGATCTCCAAATTCAGGTTTTAGATTTAGGTTTAAAAGATGACAAACATACATTAAGCTGTAGCAAAACGTTTAGCCACGATATATGTTTTGCTTTTGATTTTCAATTTAACAAATTTAGCTCTCTAACTAAATGTAAAGCAATGATAAAATTCATTTTTCTACTTTTTGGGCCGCTGCTGAAGTATTGGCGACAGAAACTTAAACGCTGTTAGGAAGATCCGCAATAAAGATGCATTTTTCATCACTATCGTCTAATTGTTCATAATATTCTGAGATGAATGCAAAATCTTCCATATAATCAACTCATCTGAATTTCAAAATTGCTTTTTACTTACATTGTGCACTGTGATAGTGATATGTTCTTTGTGATTTGGTTAAAAATATGACAATAATGAAACCTGCATGCACAGTTAGAGGCAGAGTTTTAATCTTGCATGGGATCAAGTCCTCAAAAATTTAAAATTGCATTTCATTTGTATTGTGCATAGTTACAAGAACTATTTTATATGTTATGTTAAAAAAAAGGCAAATAGTGTGCTTTGCTGGAGACAGTGTCTTAATCTTGTATGGGGTCAAAAGCCTTGCAAAAATTGTATTTTTCGCACAGTGCCTATAGAACTATTTTTTTGTGATAAGTTAAAAAAATGACAATAGTGTATGCTTTGTTGGAGGCAGTCTTAAACTTATATGGGATTAAAAGCCTTTCAAATTCAAAATTTGTATTGTGCACAGAACTATTTTTTGTTTTTAGGTTAAAAACATGACAACTGAGTATGCTCAAATGAAGGCGGAGGCGGAAATGGTGAAAGAACAACTGAAGGATGAAATCAAGAAGAAGCAGACGGCGGAAAGCAGTGTCAGAATGCTGTGTGAGGAAAAAGGTATGTAATTGACATCCTCCTTCCAACAAAGCCAATAATAAAAACAAAACAGCAAAGTCCTGGAAAAACAGTGGAAAGAAAACCAAAGGTCTTTGCAACATTGATGTGGTGAAAAACTAAGCAAAGATATGAAAATTATTTTTATCTCCCTTCAGTGGATAGATAGGGTATGATTTAGTTCCATCTATGTGTCCTTTTGTTCCTCTGCCTGTTTGTTTTTCTGAAAACAACAGAATTCTTAGCCACAACATTAACATGTTTGGGAATTATTTCTTAGACACAACTTATCTCTGATAAAAAGTATTCAGGACGCAGGAAATGTAATAAAAAAAAATAATTGACGAGCATTGTTTTATATGAGCATTTCTTGTTGTAACTTTCTGTGACAAAAATGTTCATAATGTCTTATCAACAATGTAAAGAATCAATACAGAATTTCTTTTTTATTCCCAAAACAGGCTAAAAAATTTGTTGTTGATTTTTACTTTCAGATAATTTGTTGTTGAATTACAATAGTGCAGAGAATGATCGTCAGGTGCTGGTGACGGAGGTGTCGCGGTTACGAGAGCAGTACGAAGATTTGATACGGCAGATGGAACAAACTCAAACTATAATTGATAAGCAACAGGTAAACTTTTAATTAAATTTATAATTATTTGAGCCGCGTCACGACAAAACCAACATGATAGGTTTGCGACCAGCATGGATCCGCACAGTCTGATCAGGATCCATGATGTTCGCTTACAAACCCTATAACAAGTAGAGAAACTGATAGCAAACAGCATGGATCCTGATCAGACTGCGTGGATGCGCAGGCTGGTCTGGATCCATGCTGGTTGCAAACCCATTATGTTGGTTTTGACGCGACGCGGCTCATTTATAATATTGTATTTATGATATACTTATATTATTAGTTAAAAAGATATTTGACTCAGTGGTTATATGGCCCTATATAATTGGTTGTTTGCATAATATGCCCGGAGCCACTAGGTAAGGGTTATATTGCAAACAACCGTTTATATATAGTCAAAACACTTGTGAAGCATCTTTATAATGAATTTATAATGCAGCAAACTTCCCTTTTTTTTGAGAAAAAAAGAAAGAAATTTCACCATAAATTGACAGCAGCTGTATATGTAAAACTATATAAATGTCACAATTATCCAATGAAAAGTGACATTACAAAAGTGCAGTATTATAAATTATAATATAATAAATATAATCAAAAATATGTTTCTCATTTGTTACTATTAGGATTTGTTTTGCTTGAAAGACATTCATAAGGTTATTCAGTACTATTATATGTATATTTTAATTTATTTATACCTATATTTATCCCTAAATATCATTCCATAGGGATATTCACTCAGGAGATATAACTCCAAAGTAAGGAATTACCTCACTGAAATTTTGCACATTGCACAATTTGGGTTATGGTTTTACAGAGTATGAACAGTGGTCACAATAGTGAAATTTTTATAGTGATTTGGTGTTTTTTAAATTTGAGTAGAACTATCTGGGTAGTTGGTCATTTATTAACTATAAAAATGGTGAATCTGTGACCAAGTGGTTTAATTGTTGACTCCAAACCACTAGCTCCTCCCTACTTTGGGTTTAAATCTGGACAGGGACTTTGGATACTTTCATGTGAAGAAGCTATCCAGCTAGCTTACAGAATGCCGGTGGTGCCCGTTTCTGTCCGAAATAATACATAGAGAGGTCTTCCTTCTCCAGTAAAGCTGGAATGTCGCCATATGACGTATACAGTGTTGGTGCGATGTAAAACCCAACCATAAAACATAAGTCATATTGATATGTAAAAGAAATCAGATATAGGAATGTAATAATTTGAGGGTTGACCGCAAACCTGTTGAAGTTCTACTTTATTTCATATAATAAGTTACTGCAGTTTTGCAGTAAACCCTCGGCATGCTAAATTCAGTGACCATATTATAACATTGGCTTACTGAATGACTATATTACACATTAGCTTATGAATATTGTAGGAGATATTTTTAAGTGATAAGCTGAAGACAACTGACCAAGTGACTGAATGTTTGGTAAGCCATGCTGTGTTTGTGATGATGATTCTGAGTGAAATAATGAACAAGAAAAATGTCAACAAAAAAAAAGATTAACAAAGATAAACATAAAAAAAAAAAATTATTGTAGATAAACAGAGAAACTCATTGCATGGTGTGATAATATAGAATGATAACAGAGCTATGTATCTTTTTTCCATATCTTGTTGTGTAACTTTGCCGTGTTGGTGGGGCTTAAACCCTCCAAAAATGCAACCATCAGATGAAAAAAAGTAATTAAGGGACTTGTATATATGTACATGACTAAGACCCCAAGAGCAATTAAATATCATGATAACTCTCATTTGTATTTTTCTTAATGTGAGATATTGAAGGTGATGATTTTTTTTGCGGATTTTATAATTTCCTGCAAGCTGACAGAAACATATTTTTGTTTAAATTGATTTAAAATAATATGAAAATATGGAAGAAATATACATAGCTTCAGTTTTCAATCTTACAAAAAAGAAATATAGCATTGTGATTGCTTGTCTGTGATTGTTGAATATTCTAATAAATTTATATCTGATAATTGTTTCTATAAGCAATGGCCCAGTTGTTCAAAACTTTTGTTAAATATTTAACAATGAAATTATTGTTAAATAAACAAAAGATTGTTAAGTTCTTTAAAAAAATGTTTAATTTTTGTTTTTAAGAAATCCTGCTTTTCAAACATTGTTATCGTTGAAGTTGTGTTTAATTAACAAAACTGTTGTTAAATTTATTTGTTAAATATCTTTGTTGAAAAAGTCAGTTGCTCAGAAAAAAACATTATCTTTTTGTTAAAACATCCGCTTTAAGAACAAAATTTATTCACCTCGATAAGTTTATGCATTTTTATATCCAAATTAGACATACTCAGTAAGAATTTTCTATAAATTATTTCTGCAATAAAAGTCTTTTACCTAAATAAATAGTATATATTTAAATAAAATCATAGAAAATGTGACACTTATGTGACTTGTATAAATTTTCTGGTACAACACCATCTTGGTCATTCTACTATATATATAGAATACAATGTTAGTATGAATGTACATGAAACTGAAACTGTGTTATTTAATGCTAATTCTTGCTTAATTTGTTTAAACAGAAGCTGCTTTTACCTTTATGTTATAACATGTCATAATGATTATTATACTGATGAGATGATTTTGATTGGTTTATAAATCTGATGCATTTTGGCAACTTGCCAACAATTTTGTTAAGTCTTCCTCTGAAATGATTCTAAAATATATATGATGTATTGTATATTATACTAGTATTGAATGCAATAGACCACTTAATTGTAGTCTAGAAATGTATATAGTTTCCGATCTCCTTTCATAATTATGTTTATAGATATTTCCCCTACACCGATTTCTCTATTTTCCTAAGTTATTCTATAAAATTATTCTTAAATTTAACTGTTTTATACCTTTTTAGAAGTGTACTTATTTCTTGCACCTATGTAGTCACTGTAGTTGTTATTGTTTTAGAACAAGAACAAGGAGTTGGTGGAGGAAAATGAAAACTTGACTCAAATGTTACGTACGACTGCTGCAGAGCACGATAAAATAAATGCACAATTGAAACGGGAACTTCAGGTAATGGTTGTAACAGTTGTATAAATTTCAGGTATATACTTCAGGTTATGGTTTTAACAGTGGTATACACTTCAGGTTATGGTTATAACAGTGGTATATACTTCTGGTTATGGTTATAACAGTGGTGTATAAATCAGGTTATGGTTATAACAGTGGTATACACTTAAGGTTATAGTTCAAACAATAGTATGAATTTTAGGTTATGGTTTTAATAATGGTATAAACTACTGGTTATTGTCTTAACAGATGTATAAACTACAGGTAGTGGTTTTTACAGTGGTATAAACTGAAAATAATGGTCTATACATGGGAGAGGTAGCATGGTTGTAGAGTGAGTAAGGGTAGGTGAGGGGTGGTTAGTGACCAATCAATGCTTGGAACACCAGTCAGTCGTTACAGAAGTATGAATTTTGGATAATGATTGAAATTATAGTATGAACCTTAACTAGGGAAATATATCATTTTAGGTAATGGTTCTTACAGAACAACTTTGTAGTTTCATTAGAAAATTGTTCATATACAGACATATGACTCTTTGTTAGATTATGTATTAATGTATTCTACTTTATCTTTTTATCTTTTGTAACTGAGAGAACTGTTAAATAAACGAACAAAATACGTTGTTAATTTAAAAATTTAATCAAATTGAAGGGCACTTACCATTTGTCAAATATTATTTCTGAATGATCTCCCTTTTTGCATCAAAATTTCCCTTTTACTGTACAGAACAGTCTAAGAAATGCAGTGGACTGAGACTCTTTGTGAAAGGTTCTTTTTTAAATCAAAGATGGTCTAAGTTATAGACAAAAAGTGAACCATTGAATGTGCAAGATGTTCTACATGTATAGCCATACAGGAAGTTATGTTGAAGTTGTGGTCTGTTATACCCATATGGTATATCATTCTTAAAATGCATTATAACATATTTATCTGATAGAATGAGAAAAAGAAGAATTTGGATAAAGAAGTGGTAGAAGATGAAGCTATGAGATTAAAAGACAGTGTAGCAGAAATCACAGAAGATAACCTTGATCTCAGGAAAAAATTGTAAGATTTCACTACATAGTAAAATTAAGAGCTGATTTTTAATGCTTCTGAGGGATCACTTTTTCCCCCAGATATTTATACATCACAACAGTAGGTGTTAAGTCCTTTGTGGCAGACGGAAAAAGTTGCCCCATACTTCACTTCAGTGTTGTTGTATTTATCTGGTCCTTTGGGATCATTAGTCCAGCACTATTAAGTGTTTAGAATTGAGTAAAGCTCTTGAGAATTGAGTACTGCTAAACTCCATAAAAACGGTATTGCACGGCTGTGCATATATTTTGATGACGTGATGTCATTTACGTTAAACAAACATAGTGTAAATTTAAGACGCGCTAAATGTTAGCGTTACACTATAGGCGTGTCAATATAAAATGATTCTTTCACGCTTTAAACAGTCTTTATTTGGATATGTGATAAATACAATATTATATTCATGTAACTTCATTACTCTATTTATTGAACTTATTGAATAAAATAATATTTTGCTGGTGAGAGGCTTGCATAATATCATTTAATTCAACTTGTGCAATAAATTCAGTATTGAACCTACACTCATTCAATATCGTCTGTTTACAACACAGGAAAAGATCAGAGGAGGAAGTATCTAAGTTAAGAAGTAAGATAAGCAGCAAAGATGAGGAGTTCAGTAAGACAGCTGGCAGTCTGGAGAAGGAGCTACAATCTTTAAGAGATCAGTTACAGACGCTACAGAAAGATAGGGACAAGGCGCTCAAAGATAAAGAGGCATTGTTAGAAGAGGTAGTGTAATATTTAAAGGGGGGAAAAACAGCATTAAAGATGTATTTTCATGTGATTTTTATATGTTTTTTTTTTTTGTTTTTTTTGTTTTTGTTTTTGTATCTTTGTCTGTCAAAAGCTTTTGCAGGCATCAGGCAAACCCAACACAAAATGAGACAAATATATGTTTTTCAACATTATTAGCATTTCTCAAGTTGAAAGCTAGTTCTGTTCCTATGCGCCTTTATTGAACTAAAGATTTGAGGGCATCATGTTTATGTTCAGTTTGTTTGTCGCTATTTAGAATAATTTCAGGTTAGTGAAATGGTAGATGTACATGATTTTAATTTGGTAAAAATTTGATCAATTCTAGGTTTATCAAAATGTAGATGTACTTGATTTTCATTTAGTAAAAAATTGATCAATTCTAGGTTTATCAAACAGTAGATATACTTGATTTTCATGTAGTAAAACATTTGATCAATTCTAGTTTAATCAACAGTATATGTACTTGATTTTCATAAGTATAAAATGTGATCAGTTTTATGTTAATCAAACAGTAGGTTTACCTGATTTCATTAAGTAAAAGTTTTGATCAACTCTAGGTTAATCAAACAGGTTAATCAACGGTATATGTACTTGATTTTCATGTAGTTTAAAAATGTTTTAAGTTAATCAGTAGATTTACTTGATTTCATTTAGTAAAAAATTTGATCTATTCTAGGTTAATCAAACAGTAGATACAATGGTTGAAGAGAGAACAAAGTTACAGAAGCAGGTTCAACAACTCCAGCTAGAGCTGGACGGTCACTCAAGAGCTCGCAGAAAGTTAGAACACGAGAATGCTCATTTGCTGGAACGAGTGTCCGGCTTCGAACAACAGCAGGTACATTACAGTAATATCTGAGATATCACTGATTTTATTTTTGTAATGATGCAGTCATTTAAGTAGATAACTGATGCCGCAATATTTCACTAACAGCATGGACTCTGCTGCCATTCAGATTTTAACATGTGGCTTGTTTTTTATGCATTTCCATTGACTAAATATTAAATGTTGTTTTTAAAATCACTGATTATTGCATTTTGAAATTTTGTTGACACATTAGTTTAAAGTAATGCACTTATGCCTATCTGAGGTATTCCTGTATCAATAATTTAGCTTTTAATTCCCCATATGATCATAGGGCTTTGATATTGAAAACTTACAAATAATCAACGGGCATGTACAAAATCAAAGTTGGGCAGGTCTAGTATATAAATTTATCTGGGTACTGGGTAAAAGCTAATCATACTAAACTACTATAATAAGAGTGATAATGTTGGATGGGGGGCCAGGGAGCTCAAGCGAATTAAATGATATGCACCTTTATAAACATACAATGTTTCCTTTTAATTTTATTCAGAAATACATATACGTGTTAGAGGTATCTTTCTTTTCTAATATATTATATAAAGTACTGTTTGATATCAAAATTGCATGTACATAAAATACTCCCAATAAATTTATATTATTCTGGTCATTTATTGATGAAAATAATGAAATAATATTCTTCATGAAAATTACACAATGTATTTACTTTATTTTTTATTTTACTTTTTATTTTATCTCTTTATTCCTACTTTCTATTTTGCAAGCAAACAGAACTTGAATATGTTATTCTCCGTTATTTTATGATTGATTATTGATTATTTTATGATTGTTTATGGTTATTGATTATTTTATGATTGATTATTGACTATTAATGTTTGTTCAATTATTTTCTTTGTTTATTGCATACTTTCAGTTCTTTCAGATACCTATAAGTTTACATCTGCCTCAAATATTTTATTGTTTATTTGATTCTTTACATTTACATTAAAGTGGATTGGTCTTTAATCGGTACATTTTCAATAAGCAAAAGAAAAATATTGATCAAGCTTTAAGTGATTTTGTATAAACATTTATATGATTTATGAATATTTCGTTCTAGAACACTTTATTATCTGCCATATGAATATATGTAACATGGGATCATGCATCTCATATTTACCAACAACGTCCATATATAATTTTTTCATGATTAGCTGTCATGTATTAATACTATCATCATCACTATTTATCACATACCCGTGTTGCTTCTGCGTTTCTGTAAAAACGGTATTGCACGGCCGTGCATGTATTTTCACGTGACATCATTTACGTTATACAAACATAGCGTTAAGACGCACTAAATGTTAACGACTTTAGTTTTGGTATGTGATAATAGAATATTTCATTCATGTAGGTTCATTCCTGAATTTTTGAACTGGTTGAATAAAGTAATATAATGCTCGCCAGAGGCTCTCATAATATAATTTTATTCCACTTGTTCAATACATTCAGTATTAAACTTACACTCATTCAATATCCTCTATTTATTGTATAATAGATCTGAATAGACCAATGCACTTTAAAACTGTTGAGCTTGATTTTTTCTATGTTACCACTGATATAAAATAAAAATAAAATGGGTATATCTATTAAACTTAAGGATAGACTAACAGCTCATATGGTACGCTGGCTTATAAATCATGCATGTGGCATGCCACGTTAATTAACCGAAGATTTGGTAATTTTAATATTCTTTGCAGTATTTTTGTTGCCCATAGGTGGGCACAATAAGTCAGGGGTTGAGGTTAAGTCCAAGTCTTGAAGTGACTTAAGGTTAAAAATCCATAAAGAGACATGTAGATGTGAATAAAGAATATATGCCTTTCCCTTTCGGGAAGTAAGTTGGCACAATTATGCTTATGTTTCTTGAACATTTTCTGTATGATTTCATTTTGTTTCTAGAATATTATGTTTTTATATAATATTTACAATTTATAAATGATTATCAGTACATAACGATTACCAAATCTTCAGTATTTAACTCAAATGGCATATAACATTATTATGTGGATTTGGTGCAGTGAATTTATATTTAGAATCAAAGCATTGCAGAACATCAAAGCAGCATGTTAAAAGAGCTTGGGGGAAAGAAGTCATCTTATCCCATGCTTTATCTGCAACAAATGATGTTGAAATTACTTGTATTATTTTATTTTGCTTGATTCTTAATACTACATTTTTCACCATGTCCAATTGTTACAACAAAAAATTTGATCAATAATATACTATGTATGACTTTGACTTTCTTCACTATTGATGGATAAAAAGACATATTTTTTCTTCTTAATTAGAAACGATTTTAAAAGAATAACATTAATTATATAATAAAAGATGTGCCTGTGTCATGCTTGTAGCTTTAAAATTATCTGTGATGCAATTTTGTTATTGTAACATTTAGATAGGGTGCTTTTCAAATTTCAGGAATACCAACACTTGTTAATAATTTATCAGAATTTCGTCTCAATTTAATCTTATTGAATCGGAAAACATATTGAAGGGTCTTTTAACATTGATTTGATTGATTCAATGAATACCTAAGACTTCTTTAAATCATGTCTATTATGATTTGACATTGGTTACTTATGCATTTTTTCTTCTGTCTTTCAAAATGTCATATTGTTGTAAATTAATAAATTAATAGTAAATTAATTGAAATATAAAAGGCCTGCATGACATGCAAGCCACATCTTCGATTTTCAGTTATACATGGTTATCAATCAATCTGACAGACCTACTGTATTATGTCATATTAAATAGGACATAAGAAAAATACTTAAAAAATATATGAAATGCAAAACTCTATCGATTTTTAGATCAACTGCCCAAATGCTCATCATTTCAATTCATTGGAACCATCTTTATACAAAGTTGTGATAATATTTTTATAAACTGCAAAAAAATTTTGGGATTATAATGAAGTTCAATGATTATTAAGATATTTTGGAAGCTTTTATTCATAGTCATTTAAGCTTTGAACACTGGTAAAAGTATTAAACATGCACCTTGGACATATATTATAACTTTATAAGGGCTTTGGTGTCCAAAGTAATTCAGTAAAAGTTTGGCTGCAAGTATACTGAATTGCATCTTATTATATCAAAAGCAATTTTTTTTCATAATATTAATTAAAAAATATTAAAATAAAGATGTTACTGTTATTTCAGTCATTCAAAGCATTAACCCTATGTGCTAAAAAGATATGATACTTTTACCTTTGGTTAATGTTTGGAACTTTAGAGCTGTACTGTATTTACTGTCTATAAGTCTGACACTCTTATAAGGCGCTGTCTGAATTTTACACATAACCAGCATGCATTTCAAATATATTGCCTATCATTTCAGTGGGTTCCAATTCTGTTAGAGACTTTGAATTTTTAATGTTAGTTCACAGAATCATGTGCCTGTGCTCTTATTACTAGAAATAATTCAGGCAGAGGCAGTTCACAATTAAAGCTAAATAAAACCAGTCTTGTAAATGAGTTAATACAGTACTGTCCTTGTCATTTTTTTCCTCACGAACATTTTTCATATTTTCATTTGTCTCATAGCTTGAGAATGAGGTCAGTATAGTGTAGAACTCATCGTGTTTTAATTGTTTAATTAATAAATACTTTAACAATGTAGAACCCTTAACTGAAAATGATTGTATTTAGGATGTTAACTAGTAGTAAGAAAATAACTTCATGAAAAAGTAGAAGATTTTGTGTGTCGACAAATGTGTTGAGGTCAATGACTGTATGTTTGACGATTTGAAGCTAATACCTAGGTAGTTGTGTTAACATTTTAAAGAAAGGAAGTTATTTTTTTGTATGATAACTTATGTAGTAATGGTTTTGTATGATAACTTATGTAGTAATGGTTTGTACTTTGTGAATAAGGATTAGACTATTACTAGCTTAATTTATGTTTTTAAAGTTACCATGTTGGAGTAGTCAAGGTTGTCATCATCAACATCAAAGTTGTCATCATCATCACCTATATTGTCATTATCATCATCATTAGTGTTGTCATCATCATTTTATCATCATCACCACCAATATTAACATCATTATTCATCATTATTGTCATCATCATCATCATAAGCAATATTATCAACATCATCACTATCACCAATATTGTCATTATCTTCATCATTATTGTCATCATTATCATGTCATCATTATTGTCATAATCATCAGCAGTATCAGTGTCATCATAATCTCCACCACTATTAGTAATAAATCATCAACATCATCATTATCATCACCCCACCACCTTCAACTATCATTCACACCATCATTAATATCAACAGTGTCATCATTCTTATCAAAAGAAACATATTTGTGAAAAACATTGTCATCATCGTCATCACCATTATCATCACCCTCATGGACATCCTCATCATCATTATCATAATGCTCTGCGACCTAATCTTGTAGCCAGAAACCTTAAAGTTTATGTCATTTGTACCAATTTATTCCAACTTTAATTTGTACACTTATTTTTCATGTCCAGAAATGTTATAATTTATTTGTTTGTCTGGTGCCATGGATCAGGTTTTTGTATGTGTTTTACATAACCCAATAATTTGATTAAAATGTTCTGTGTTAAAAGATAGAGAAAGTAACAGATTTATGTGGACAGCTCTGTTACCAGGTATAGGAAATTATTATAAAGATGTAACAGGTTTTTGTGTAGCAATTTAAATAATTCATCACCTTAGTGCAGTAACAGGGTAACTCCTTATATAATTTATTAGGTGTTAACCTGTTACTGCACTAAGGTGATGATATGAGCCTCATCATGTGAAAAAGGTACCATGCAATTGAAGCATTTTTTTTTTTGCAAATAAAATGTGTGTGTGGGGGGGGGGGGGGGGGACACAAGTGCTAAATACCAATATCATTCTGCTTGCTATTAACTTGATGGTACTGTCTTGTATGATGATGGTCTCATGTGATATGTAAAGTAAATGATATACTGTAAAATTCCTATTAAACGCCCCCCAGGGCCTAACATTTCCCAGGGGGGGAGGGGGGCTTTAGTACATGTATATAAAACACAGTATCACAGTATCTCCAAAATCCAAAAATCATTGTAAATATGTTTGATGTTAAACAAGTTTTGGTAAAAACGTTAAAAAGTGTTAAAGTTTAAAATTCTATAGGGATAAAATTATATATGGAGGGACGTTGAATAGGAATTTTACGGAAATTTGTACTAAAATTATAATCTGGAAAAAATTAGTTATTTATCTATATTCAAAGGTGTGGAAAGATTGCATGCACCATTATAACAGGAAATAGTAGTGATCATCACTCTTCTGCATGTTTAATTATGTAATAAAGTAATAATTTATAATGTAATAATTATGTAATAAAGAAGATGTAACCAGCTTACAGGTTCGTTAAATATGAAAATTGTTAAGTGTCACCGTATGCGGTTTATGAACACATCTGCGGACATTTTTAAATTTAAACTTTTGCCATATTCATGTCAGTCGTAATGTTACAAAATACATTAGTCAGAAAGAATAGTTTCATTTCTAGCTAGTGTTGGTAATTGAATATTTACAGTCTGGATTATTAAGCTAGTATTAATTAAACAATGATTTCTAAAAAATTTAACCTCATCATTATAATATGTCTAATATTAAAGGGAGACACAGGCAAAATTTTCATTTCCTAGTTTTGAATTTTTCATTCATTATTCTGTAAATGTCCTTAAAATGAATACAATAAACAGTAAAAGGAACAAAAAAATTCTCCATATAAAGAATAAAATTGTGTTTTCCTAACTTGACCCGCGTGGGTCAGGTTAGAGCGCTAAGATTTCACAATAGTTGTCACTGTGTACTCTGGAAACGTTAAAGAACATGTCAAATCAATTACTTAGACTTGTTTCAATCATACAATATCCACAATACCTGTTATTGTAACTTCCAGGGTTTGTTCAAATTACATGACTTGTTTTTAAACTATTCTGTGATTCTGTTGGCATCTAGATTTCGTTCAACATAATTGTATAGATATATTAAGTTTCAAACCCAAAATATATAGAATTTATACAGAAATTCATGCTGGGACTTTAGAAATGACATTATAGGGTGATTTGAGTACAGAAGATCATTTTTAGCTCGACTATTCGATTAGAATAAGTAGAGCTATTGTAGTCACCTGAGCGTCGGCGTCGGCGTAACCTCTTATGTTAAAGTTTTTGTAATAGTTCAAATATTTTCAAAGTCCATTGACATATGGCTTTGAAACTTTGCACACTTGTTCACCATCATGACCCCAACCTGTAGACAGGAGGAGGTAACTGTATCAAGCATTTTGACAGAATTATGCCCCTTTTTCGACTTAGAATTTACGTTAAAGTTTTTGTAATACTTCAAATATTTTCAAAGTCCATTGACATATGGCTTTGAAACTTTGCACACTTGTTCACCATCATGACCCCAACCTGTAGACAGGAGGAGGTAACTGTATCAAGCATTTTTTTTACTATCAAGCACTAAGAATAGTCGAGCGTTGCTGTCCTACCGACAGCTCTTGTTTATATTTTTGTCATTATTTTGCCTGAGTATCCCTTTAAATGCTTTTAATTATATTTAGAGTTGAATAATTTACTCCATAGAGAATTTTTAGTAATCTTGTTAAAGATTTTCATTTCAGGACTGTTACCATAAATAGTAATTTTACCTTGTCTGTTTCGCAAAAAGGCAAACTACTATGATCCCTGCGGCATCATTTTCTTTGTGCAAAAATTTTAATGTAGCCCATTATTAAAACGTTTCAAATGGTATCAACACGAAACTTGGAATACTTGCTTATGATGGCAAGGTGCAGTTGATAAACAAAAGGCATAATTTGTAAGCAATATTTTTGGAGTTATGCCCCTTTTAATAGACAAGCATTAACACCCAGTATGCGGTGCTCTTGTTTGAAATATTATAAGACAAAATTAAATAAAAAATTGGTTGACCAAAATATATTATCCTTTGTCATTTTGAATTATGGAGGGTTTAAAGATGATTATATATATATCGCTGTGATATAAAATGTGCTGGTACAGCTTTACAATGAATCATAAATCTGGTTCATACTTTATACAAAGAGAGGGTTGAGAAAATTTGTTTAACAAAGACAATCATGTTTATTTTCTGTTTTCATTTGATACAGCAAGCACAAAAACATGTTGAAAACACACTCAAGGAAATGATGGATCAGAAAAATAAGCTTGCGTATGAGAACGGACGTCTGCAGACGCAGGTGGAACAGGCCACGATCGAGCTGGAGTCGTTGAGGAAAACCGATCTTGAGGTCACGAAATATAAACAGATTTCAGAGGCGTTGGCTTCAAAATACAGCCAGGTAGGTGGCACTGCATGATTTCAGTTTACTAATACATGTAGTTTTCATAGAACATAGTTAAACTTTGCAGCACATAAATTTTCATGTTTTCAGGAAATCACTAAAATTTTGAAAAAAAAAAATATTTTGCAAGTTATACAATATATGATATTTCAGTTAATAACAATGTGCATTTCTAATATTCTTTCACCATTATTATGACCTTAGGATTATAAATTTGACTTAAAAGTCAAAAACCACTACACCCCCTTCACTGCCCCCCCCCCCCCCCCCAACATCGGAAGAAAAAAGATCAACAATGCCATACATGTATACAAAGCATTATTTAAAACCTCTAACATGATTTTTCACATTATATGATATGATTATGAGGCCTTTAAAAACCGCTTCCCGTATTGAAATTTTCTGTAAAATCATGCAGTTTTACCAAATACTTAAACCAGCTTTTATACTTCACAGATTAGTAATTTTAGAAATAATTTTTCCAAAGGTCTCTTCCCATAACTAAGAAAAACCTCTGCATTTCTAAATATAGCGTTTCTATTTATATATTTTTAGTGTGAGACAGAGATAAGTGAGTTGAAGGTAACAATACAGCGTCTAGAGAGTCAGTTAAAACAGGCACATGCCCAGCTAGATACCCGCCATAATGACTACAGCTCTGTTAGTATAGCCAAGGAAGAACTACTGAAAGATAATCAAAGATTACTGACTAAACTACAGAGTGTTGAAGAGAGGGAAAAACGCAAGGTATGTTCGATTGAATATGTGGTAATTTGTGGGGAATTGCTTGTCCTTGGGTTATAGTGGTTGTGTTTTGAGCTCAAAGACTCAAAGGATATGGAATCTATTGTACTTACCCAGGTGTCGGAATCGCCGTCACACTTTGGTCAAGTTTTTGCATGCATATTGATATCTCCAAAATTACTAAAAGGAATGGTTGAAACTTAACTAACTTATTTGAGAGCATAATAGGAGGGCACTGTTCAAGGCTCGTAACTCTTTCATGGATTTCATGGTTTAATCTGTAAATTTAATCAATATACTTGCCCATTATATTTGTGAAAAAAAAGTATAACCTTTTAAAGTAAGCTATTATTTATTGCCAGAGAGAAAAGGTAAGAGTGAGTTTGATGAATAACTTGTAGTTAGTAGCGATCTGGTTGATGTTTTTAACCCTTACCCTGTTGGAATCGAATGTGAATTGATTATCCCCTGCCACCAGTATAGAGCCTGACCAGCCTGTACATCTTGCAGTCACAGTCTGACCAGGCTCTATACTGTTAGTTGTTTAAAGACTCATTATGCCTCAGAAATTCGCTTTTATTAATTTTTTTAGAAATGTCAAACATGTGTTTAATAATGGATTTAGAGCATGTTAGATGTTTAGCGGCTGAAGAAAATAGCGCTTAATTAATGTGCAGCAATGTGTAGTAAAGGTAGCGAAATGTTAACAAAGTAGTATTCTGACTTCCATACAAAATACTAATTCAATATAATTATATGCCAATTGTCAACAAGGCAAACAAAACAAAGATAGTTCATCTATTATATGTGGCTAATGAGCATTTTTTGGTTACTGTAATAAGATAACAAAAATTTAAAGTTTTTTGTGAAATAAAAATGATAGCATTTTTTAGGCATAATGGGCCCTTAATTTTTGTATTTTGATGCTAAAATCCCTTTATCTTTGAATGGACTGTTCCAATTTAAAAGCAGGGTAAATCCATTATACAAATTCAGCTGGTTAAGGGTTAAATGTTTGAAATGTTTTCTAGTAGATTTCTTAAGCAAACATGCCTGGTTGAAATGTTGGTTCCTTTTTTCTACATTTTTTGTTTGGAATTTTTTGTTTATATGTTGTTGTTTTTTTTCTTTTGTAAATGATGTTTATATGTACAGTATGTTTGTTTGCTGAAATTTCTGATTTTTTTATAGTCATGTTGAAAAAATCATGTTTCTTTTTCGAATTCTGGATTTTCCTAGTTTCTCTGATCTGACCTGTTTTAAGCTATTTCTTTTTTTAAATCTTGAAGTCACTTAAATCTGAAATCAAAATCACAATTTTTGTCTATAAAATCTATAATCAAAATCACAATTATTTTGCACAAAATCTGAAATTGGGATCACAATTATTGTCTACAAAATCTGTAATTGGATCACAATTATTGTCTACAAACTCTGTAATGGGATCACAATTATTGTCTACAAAATCTGTAATTGGGATCACAATTATTGTCTAAAAAATCTGTGATGGAATCACAATTATTGTCTACAAAATCTGTGATGGGATCACAATTATTGTCTACAAAATCTGTGATGGGATCACAATTATTGTCTACAAAATCTGTAATTGGGATCACAATTATTGTCTACAAAATCTGTAATTGGGATCACAATTATTGTCTACAAAATCTGTGATGGGATCACAATTATTGTCTACAAAATCTGTAATTGGGATCACAATTATTGTCTACAAAATCTGTGATGGGATCACAATTATTGTCTACAAAATCTGTAATGGGATCATAATTTAAAGATACTGGCACTTTAAGCATGTCTTTATATTTATGAGCTTTAAAATTTCCTCGTTAAAATTATGCAGACAAGGTCTATGTATTGATTTTTAAAAGTAAAATATTGTGAAGTGAACAAAGAAAATAATCTACACATTGCAATCAACACTTACAATCCACCAAATTACCAAAAAGAGGTCAAAATAGGCAAAATTAGCCATTACTGCGTTAGTCACGCAGTTGAAATGAACATAGCATGAGTAACTAGTTTATTTCAGTTGATTAAGTGGTAGTTACACAAAATATAGAATATTAATGGAATTCTTATAAATATTAAAGCATGATATGTACATTGTACATATATATTTTGTTATTGTAAATGTTTCAATTATATAATGGATGATTGATTGAAAAGGGTTGTTCGATTATTTTCGATGATTGATTATGATTTTTGTCCGATTAACCCTTTCACTGCTATAGGGACGGCATATGCCGTCCCTATTATTTTCGGCGTATTTGCCATATGGACAGCTTTTGCCATTTCTATAATAATAATAATAATAATAATTATAATAGTAATAATTATAATAATAAAAATAATCATAATAAATATATAGATAATTATACCATCGACAATAATTATTATTATACTAGCAGATTTGGAAACATATATAATTATTATAATACTAATAACAAATAGTAATAATAATATTAGTTAATAATATAGTAATTTCTTAGAAAACCTTCTGGCAAATAGGTGATCAATAAATAAATGACCCTCTGGCAGGGAAAGGGTTAAGAAACCCTACTCTGATTGCATAAGAGCATTAAGAACAAGAGTGTGTTGCTCTTATCATAACATTTACTAAAATTATAGATTTTAATATAGTTTTTTCACAAAAAGTATATTTTCTTTATCTGAGATCTTAATGTCTTCTTGGTTTTTTTTTTGTCTGAAAAATTAGTTTCTTGTGGGTGTTTGTTTGTATTTGAAATGATGAATTTCCATTTTTTGTGATTATTTTGTTTAGTTTGTTACTTTGCTGAATTGAACAAATGAGTTTGTTGTGAATTTTGCGTCCTTAGATTTTATGTTCTTTCTTTTCATTTTTCAAGTTTGACTGTTTTACATTTTGAAGGTTTTGCAGACTTTGTAATACAATTTTTTTATGTTGATTGGAATAATAATATCTGTCATATTTTGCGGTTCGGATCGGAATATCCGTCCCGAGGTGACCCGCCCATTGGGCGGTAACGAGGCTTGCCGAGTTACCGCCCATGGGCGGGTGACCGAGGGACGGATATTCCCATCCGAACCGCAAACATATGTCAGATATTTTTTCTTGCATATTCTACCATATTCCATTATATTTTAAATTCTTTATCTTTAATTTCAATGGAAATTTATATAATTACAACCGTAACTACTTTCTTACAACAGCGTATGAATTACAACTTCATTCATAACGGTAAAATGACGTCATCCTGAGCGTGCCATTGTACAGCACGCGACTCATCTGGCACCCCCCATGCCAGATGAAATTTCCGGCATGGGTAAAACTCACGGAAACGCCAGTCTGATATGCAAGAATGTGTTTTAAAAAATAGATTTCTGACAATATGTTGGTTGCCTAGTTTTGTCTTTGTTTTGTTGAGTATTAGAAGATAAACAATGTATTTTACTGTCCTTAGATTTTATGTGCTTTTTCTTCATTTCTCAAGTTTTACTATTTTTGAAAAAGATCTTTTTTGGTAGGCTGGAACTAAATGTATTGTACTGTTGAAAATTAAGAATCATATAGAATATAAAGTTAAAGTAGTAAATTATTTTCTTCAGTTCTGGCAACATTGTATATCTTAAAATTAATGTTAATTTTAAATTTTTATTTTCTATTATCTTATTTTCATTCATGATATAAAATTATCACCTTCTTTGTTGATTTGTTGTTAAACAATAATTTAGGTTTGAATAAAATAAATCTATATTATCCATTAAAACTCATGCTATCTACAGATAAGAAATGTTAGAATGTAGTTCAACATTCATTGAAATATGATTAAACCATGGAATACGGACAAAAGGCCCCTTGCCCCCATCTAAAAATGACACAGTGGACAAAAGCCCCCCACCCCTATCAAATTTACACATAGGACAAAAGGCCCCACCCATCGATTTCATTTTGATGCAAAAGTTAGTGTGAACCTTGATGAATTTGAACACCTGGGCGTGTGAAAAAAGCTTTTCCCTGCCAGTTTGTTTGATTGGAGGGGGGCTTTTGTCTTACCTGTTCTTTTGATGGATGGGGAGGCTTTTGTCCTACCTGTATATTTCATTGGGGGCTTTTGTCCTACCAGTTCTTTTGATATGTCAAAAATCGTTTAACTTATAACTTGAATCTATAATCTTTTACTTTTTCTTAAAATCTTAATACATTTATCTCAAGTTTGATTTTCTTGAAATATTTTGGCTTATTTGGAGGCTTGCAGCTTGCATGAAAGCTAAGTGTAAGTGAAAAAAGTCTTAAGCTACACTTAAGGGCAGCTGTGATCAATTTGTGGGGTCCTAAACTTTAAACTATTTTGTTTTACATTTATAAGTTCAATTTTTGAAAAGAGCTACACACTGTGCCTGTATATAATTTTATTATGGATGGTAGAAGTTCTATGGCTTGTAACACATGCATTTTTTATGCCCCAACTTATATAATGGAGGTAGGAGAATATAGAGTTATTCTTGTCTTTTCACATTTTTAGTTGGGTTTCTGAAATAATGCATATAAAGTAGGCAGGATTGCATACTTTATGTCATCCTTCGCAAATGAAACTGAAAAGGTCATCTTTTTGGCTTATTACTGATTGTTCACTGATGTTTGACTTATATAACTGCATCAGTTAATGATAAAACTTATAATAAATGAATACAGATATGATTTCATTGCGAAGTTTTTGTCAGCACTGACTTTGTATCAAATATAGTCAATATACAATGCATTTTTGTCATACATTCTTTAAATTTTTTAATTCCAGGTGAAAGCTTTACAAAAGAATAATGAAGATGCTAAGGCTGTGAATAAGGAGATCGCGTCCACCCTCGAGTCTGTGATGACATCACATTCCCAGTTACAGACGGTCGTAGAGAGCCTACAGATTGACCTCGGCAAGAAAGACTCCCAAATTAGCCGGCTTAAAAATGACAAGTATGCTGTATTTGGCTTATTTTATGAATGATGCTTTCAAATTGTTACTGCAACCAGTAGTTTCATTTTGTATTAGATACTGTTTATATGTTGTTACAGGTTCTGTTAAATTGTCATTGAACTTGTTATCGAGGGATCCCTGATTTGATCCTTGTGTGAGGTGAAGTTTCTCAATTACAATTGATCTCAGTCTAGAGTCTATGCATCTGTTAGGTCCAGCAGGTGAGATGGTTTTGACATTGACCTGGTGTTGCTTTAAGTTTGTAACACCCGAGGTTAGCCAAAATTATCTTTCCTGTTTCAGCGCCATATTACCTTAATTGTGTTGGTGGGCAGAAACACCATTTAAAACAAACAAATTTATATAAATTCAGGAATCGTGAGCAGCAAGAATGGAAGGTAGAGATGAGACGGTTTGAGGAGAGGATGGAGAATTTGAGAGAAGAGCTGAGACAAGAGAGAGATAAATCACAGAGAAAAACTACCAAAGATATTGCTGAGGTAGGGATATAGTTTAACATTGTGGTAACTGAGTTATTGTAAAGATTGAAAATGTATATATAACTTGTTCCTTGTAAAAGAGAAATTTTTGTTAAAGTGACATTATGCTTGTTTTTAGCCTGACTATTCGCAGAATAATCAAGCTAATGCAGTCACCCATTTGTCGGCGTTGGCGTCCCTGTGGTTAAGTTTTTGAGTGTAAGCAAGTATCTCCATAACTGCTGAAGAGAATGAATTGAAACTTCACAAACTTGTTCTCTGTGATTATCTAACATAATTGGCACAAGTCCCATAACTCTGATTTGCTTTTTTGCATATTTATGCCCCTTTATTGATTTAGAAATTATTGGTTAAGTTTTTTCCTGTAATCTGGTATCTCCATAACTACTGAAGCTTATTATGTTAAGCATGAAACATTGTCTAGTTGACCTCTACAAAAATTGTTCAAATTATAGCCCTGGGGTTAAAATTTGCCTCACTCTAGGGGTCATGTATTTTCATATATAGTAAATACTTTAAGAATCTTCTCCTTCAAAACCGCAAGGGCTACAGCTAAGATTTTAGCATGAAAAATTGTCTTTTGAATCTGTACAAAGATTGTTCAATTTATAGCCCATGGATCAAAATTGGCCCCACCATGTGGGGTCATGGGTTTTCCTTATACATGTACATGTTTGTATATAGTAACAATTTGTTTGTTATCTGATGCACAATTGTGAAATTTGAACCATAAGCACACTTTCAGAACTTTAGAATTATGTCTCCCAAAATTTTTAAGAGGCCACACAGTTAAGCATGCCCAGTATTCCCTATGAGCCTCTGTCAAATATACAATGTACATAATATTAACTTTTACAAATAAAAGGTTTCTTTCACATATTGTTTCTTAAATAACATATTCCATCAAATGTATAAAAGAATTTAACAATTCATCTTACTTAGCTGTTTATATTGATGTTTTTGTCAGTTTTGTTAATATAGAATATTGACCTCAAAAATGTCAGTTATAGTAATATAGAATATTGACCTCAAAAATGGCTGTCACTTTCGGCAAGGGCAATATTGTAAAAAAGGGAACTATCTACTGCAATTAACGGTATTACTACAAAGATGTAAGATCTATGTTTAGAATAAAATGGGTTTTTTTTTAGAATTCTGAATGAAAATCACAGTAATGGAATAGTAATAGAACAAAAAGTCCTATTTTTAGATTTTTTTCTTCTCAGATAAAGAAACAAAATGACAGTTTGTCAACGCGCAATATGGAGTTGATGAAGTCAAACACGGAGTTACGACAGAAGATGCGAGACCAGGAAAGCACAGTACAAGAATACAAGGAGAAAATCATTGACCAGAAACGTAAAATGGATTATTTGAGGCGAGGGAAAAGTGATGTGGAGGAGTATGTGAAGAAAATGAAGGTATAAAAAAACTTTTGAGCCACGCCATGACAAAACCAACATAATGTGTTTGCGAGCAGCATGGATCCAGACCAGTCTGCGCCTCTGCGCCGTCTGAATAGGATCCATGCTGTTAGCTTACAAACCTGTGGTCGAGGGGTTAGAGTCGTTGACTTTTAATCCAGTTACCTCTCTGGCGTGGGTTTGATCCCCGGGAGATGCTTTGGTAGTTTAGCATGGAGGAAGGTAGTCTAGTACTGGTGTAACTCTCCAGGAACGATGGTTAGGAAACTAACCGCCTATATGACTGAAATACTGTTGGGAAAAGGCGTAAAATGAAACAAACAAACAAAATCTTACAAAGCTATAACAAGTAGAGAAACTGATAGCAAACAGCATGGATCCTAATCAGACTGGGTGGATGCGCAGGCTGGCCTGGATCCATGCTGGTCGCAAACACATTACGTTGGTTTTGTCATGGCGCGGCTTATTTAATGATTTTATAGATTAAGTACGAAGGGTTTAACATTCTTCTCACTTGGATGTTAACCTTTTGCACTGTGAACTGTAAGCACACAGGTACTTGAAACAAACTATTTTAAATGTTCTATATGGACTATATACTATAATAAGACTAGTCTTATCATAGTATATAGCCCATAATTATAGAACATTAAAAATAGTTTGTTTCAAGTACCTGTGCATTTGTAGTCATAGTGGGGGAAAAAAAGGATATTAAGCAAGTATGGGGCTGAAAAGATAATATGTGTATAAAACGTATATTATTTAGCTCTGCATGTGACAAATTCCTTTGAATGTAGTTAACAATTCAAAAGTTTTTGCTCTAACATTTCACTTTATGCTTAAAGGCTGACTTACTGTAAAGAATGTTTAAAGATGTTTTGTAAATAAAGCTAATTCTTTAATTTGTGATATATAACTCTTTAACTAAAATTCAAGTTAGAATGTTCATATAATGATAAATTGAGCTGCGTCACGACAAAACCAACATAGTACGTTTGCGACCAGCATGGATCCAGACCAGCCTGCCCATCCGCGCAGTCTGATCAGGATCCATGCTGTTCGCTTACAAACCCTATTACAAGTACAGAAACTGATAGCAAACAGCATGGATCCTGATCAGACTGCGCGGATGCGCAGGCTGGTCTGGATCCATGCTGGTCGCAAACCCATTATGTTGGTTTTGTCATGACACGGCTCAATTATTGTGTGTCGAGTAGTACCGCAAGAGTTTAGCTTTTGACACCAGTATAGAGTCAGGCCAGCCTGCAAGTCCATGCAGTCTGATCCCTAAAATTGATAATGGACAGTCCCAAAAATGAAAGTGGGACAAGTCCATTTAAAACATTCAGCATGTTAAGTGTTAAGGTTCTTGACTTCAAACCACTTGCCTTGGTATGAATCCTGCAAGGGACTTTGGATTGCTTCATGTGATGAAGCTGACTTATGGAAGGTTGGTATTTTTACTCATGTGTGCGGCTGTGCCCTTGTGCCTGATACAATTCACAGAGGGGCACCTGATGTTTCCTCCATCTGTAAAGCTTGAAACTGCTGATATGACCTTAATACTGGTGGTATGACTTAAAATTTTGATATTTTGAAAATCTCTTATTTTAAGAATGGACATTTCAGAATTCGTACAAGGTCAAGTCCATTATATAAATTTAGCAGTTCACAGGTTGAAAGGTTCTTCAAGAATATTTTGTTTTGTTTTGTAGGAGATGAAAGTTGACATAGAAGAGTTGGAGTCCCTGAGAGATACCTATATAGCTAAAAACCAAGAACAGGTATACATCTATTAATGTTGATACTAAATACTGTAATACCCTCATCCATTGTAACTTTGGCTCCCCATCAATGGGTAGCTGCAGGAGAAAGTGGGGGAAAATGTTTTCATCTTCTGTCTGTCCCAACAATACAATGGTTTTCTTTTCGCACCTATTGGCTGAAGATATTTAGTGTGAATTTTTACCATCAAATTTGCTCTACAGACAGTGGACTATAGAATATACGTTAATTAGCAGCGTGCCTTTAGATTGAAGCAGTCCAGTTGGCTTGCTATGATATTTTAAGTTCTGCTGAGGTGCCATTTGGTTCTACTTTGGATCCATTCAGGCCCCATTTGGCTCTTTTTGGGTGCCTTTTAGTTCTACATGGATGCCTTTTTGTTCTATTTTGGTGCCATTTGGTTCTACATGGGTGCCATTTGGTTCATTTTTGGGTGCTTTTTGGCTCCACATGGGTGCCTTTTGGTTTTTCTTGGATGCCTGCTAAGGCTCAAATGATATAACGTAATGCACCCGAGGTCTCCCTATTTCCTTTAATTGGGAAATATCACCATGTAACTAAAATACTTTTAGTTTAACGGAAAATCCAGAACCACAAAAAAAACAAAAAAACAAACAGAATATATATTTTATTAATTATTTAATCTTAATGAGATCATAATGGTTTTTCCTGTAAAACATTGCAACTGGACTTACTGTAATCAAATGATAATTTAGCATGCAGTATGATGTGTTACAAGAATGGTTGATAATAATGATTATGTTCTTTTATATAGGCTGAGATGATCTCCACATTCATGGCTCAGATAAACTCACTACAGACCGAGTTACGACAGCTGGCACATGCTCAATCACAAACCCAGGATCTCATGACTCAGAAAGAGAAATCTATTGAGAAGGAGAGAAAATTAAAAGATGACTTCAGAAAGAAGTACAAGGTACCGTAGAAGTCTTTGAAATGCTCCCCAATGCTCCCACTTCCTAATAAATGCCCCCTTAATAAGCTATGTTGCCATTGCATAATAGATGTTTACTGGTATTTCGTTAGTCCAGTATAGAGGAAAGTTTAAGTCAGTCCTTACATTTCTTGGATGAGTTAGGTTCATTTGAAATGACAACCAGTGTAAGATTTTCTCTTTCACAAAAATTCAAGGGCCTCTGTGGCGGAATGGTTAAATTGTTGACTTAAAATCACTTTCCTCTCACCACAGCATATCCAGATTCTTTCATTTGAGAAAGCTATTCAGTTAGCTTACGGAATGTAGTTGTTTCTACTCGGGTTTCCGATTATGTCTGAAATAATGCACAAAGTTGTCCTAAAATTTGATAATGGACAATTCCAAAAATGGAAGCTGGACAAGTTCATTAATGTCATGAAACAGGTTCACAGTTAGGCTGGAAAGATATTAATAAAAGCCTTGACCTTGACCTTAAAGATAAAATTTTCCGAATTCTTAAAATTTCACCATAGGTTTGTTACTGAAGAAATTTTGGATGGAGCATTTGGGGTGTTATTTAAATGTCAGATATGTAATTACATTTTATGTTTTTTTTTCTAATTTAGCATTCAAGAAGGAAAGAAGATGAACTTGATCATATGAAGTCTTCTGCAGAAAAACGTCTGTCTGAAGTCAGAGAGGAGTCTCTGGAAGTAAGTACACGTTATCAATACAAACTACAAAATGTTGTACCGGTTTCCAAAGCTTGATCCATTCATCCATCACCTTTGTTTTCATGGAATGTATGTGGTCAAGTAAATGAAGTACTTGTTTTGAATACAGGAATTCTGTTAAAATATGTGAAGATATTGGTAGAAATTTGACACAGTACAGCTAGGTTCTTCTCCAATCTACAGAGCTAGTTGTTTATTTCCATTTATGTTTATTGACACTTCTATATGAGGTCCCTATAGGGGAGGGGATATCAAAATTTTCTTAATTGTCCTCAATACAATACCATGTGTCTAGACTGTTTTGAATGGCTCTAGTTTAATCTTATAATATAATTTAGATTAATACAAAATCCTGGAATAAATGCAAGTACTGGTATAGAACCCAAGAATTCTGTTCAAATATTGGGATAAAATTCAGGAATAAATGCAAGTACTGGTATAGAACCCAAGAATTCTGTTCAAATATTGGGATAAAATTCAGGAATAAATGCAAGTACTTGTATATAATTCAGGAAAGGTAGTTTAAAGGTTGCAGACATCCTAGGTATATATGACTTAAATACTAGTACTTGTTCCCCTCTTGCACATAAACAAAACATACATTTTTATTTATTTATTTATGTATGTAAAAAGGAATTTATTTACGATTCATTTATTCCTGCAAGTAACTGCCATCGTCATGTAATGGTATTTATTGTTATATGTGTATTTTTCCACCTTCATTTTCAGATATCAAATCATTTAAAAAGTGCACACGAATGGTTCAAGGACAAATTTGATAACTTACAGCATGAACTTGTCGCTTCAAGGTATGTTTTCTCATTTATTAACCTTCACAGTGCTGATATTGTGTTCCTCTTAATTTTGGTCTGTCCATTGCTCCTTGCTTCTAAGTAATTTAAGGGATTTTAAGATAAAAATGTTAGGTTTCAACATTCAAAGATATGTTTGTTTAAAAAAAAAATAATTGAAAATTATGCCTTGGTATTTGCCTGATAAAGGCATACACACTAAAACGCCAAACATTTGTCTTATAAAGGCGCATGTAAATGTCTTACATAATAAATTATTTACTGGTACTTAATTAAAGGCTAACATAAATAAAATACTTTTAGTATTTGATTGAAAATGGATACACAGGGCTTCCATTAAGTTTCAAAATTTGGAAGTCAGAGACTGCAAAATCTCTGACATTAGAAGTCACATTATATAGGTAAAGAAGAAAAAATAGAAGTCACAAGCCAAAATGACTCCCAAACTTTCATCAACTTAAGCCCTGGATACACATGAAGATGTCTTTGATATTTGTTTGAAAAAGGCATGCACATGTAAATGTCCATGTTGTTTATTTTACATGTAAATATTCCAAGTATTTGTTTAAGAATTACATGAATATTAATATTGCTAATAAAATTATATGAATACAGGAGGGTGCAAGAGAAACTAGTAGATGACAACTTGGAACAGAAGAAAAAGTTGGATGGTGAGAGGAGGAAAGCCCAGGCAGCTGCAGAAAAAGCCAGGGAAATGATTCAGGTAGGTGGGATAATTCCAGGGAAATGATTTAGGTAGGTTGTCAAATTCCAGGGAAATGATTCAGGTAGGTTGGTAAATTTCAAAGAAAGATTCAGGTAGGTTGGTTAATTCCAGGGAAATGATTCAGGTAGATTGGCAAATTTCAGGGAAATGATTCAGGTAGGTTGGCTAATTCCAGGGAAATGATTCAGGTAGGTTGGCAAATTTCAGGGAAATGATTCAGGTAGGTTGGCTAATTCCAGGGAAATGATTCAGGTAGGTGAAATGATTTGGGTAGATAGGTTTATTCCAGGGAAATGATTTAGGTAGGTTGGCAAATTCTAGTTAAGTGGCGCAGGTACGTATGCAAATTCCAGAGAAATGATCCAAAACAGTTATGGAAATTCAAGGGAAATTAGGGAAAACATGTTGAAGATGTTAAGGAAATGATTATAAATTTAGGTTTTAGGTATGTAGGCAATTAGATGGAATCAACAAGACAAAAGAACCATAGCTATTCTTGCATAGCAGGCTTGTGTTTCTAGTGTTTGTACCAATGCTGGAAAATGTGGAAGATGAATTGCATGCTTTGAATTGTATCATTCTGCTGCTGCTATAAATGATATTAAAAATTCATACCTGCTTAAAGAAAATTGATAAAATAAAGATATGGTAAAAGTTTAGCAATTTAACATTATTTCTTTTTTAAACATAATTTATATTTATTTAATGTAATATATAAGCAAAAAAATTGCTTAATGTAATTTAAAGGAAAAAATGTTTAATCCAAAACGAATGTTTAATGTAATATTACAAGAAAAGAATGTTTAATATTATATACAAGAAAAAGAATGTTCAAAGTAATATACAAGAAAAAGAATGTTTAATGTAAGGATACAAGAAAATTTGTTAATGTAATATACAAGAAAAAAGAATTGTTTAATGTAATAAACAAGAAAAAATTACCCAAATTAATCTGTACAGAAAAAGAAGTTTAATGTAATATACAAGAAAAAAGAATTTTTATGTAATATTACAAGAAAAAGAATGTTTAATGTAATGAAACAAGAAAAGAATGTTTAATGTAATATACAAGAAAAAGAATGAGTTTAATGTCATATACAAAAAAAAATGGGTTAATGTAATGATACAGAAGGGAATGCTTAATGTTACAAACAAAAAGTAAAAATATATACAGGTTGGTCCTGTCGGAATTTGACAGATTCGACTGTCTTGGAGTCCTTTGCGCGTGCAAACCTTTTAAAATTTTTTTGCGTTTTGACCCCCCGGTAAAATGTTTTTTCCCAGGCAAGCAGACAGACTATCTCACGTCTTGGTGATTATGCCGATTTAGCGGACCACGAAACTAAAGAACAGTTAAGCCAGTTATACAGCCAGTTACAACAGGAGAAAGATCATTCGAAATATCTCGAGATGAAACATCATAAATACAGAGACGCCAGTGCTCGACAGTTTGAAAACCTGCTTCATGAAACAGAAGATTCATACAGCTGATAGGTGCTTTTGGTTATAGATGACGGAACTACTTTTTTCCAGAGATTTTTTTTATTTTTTATATTCTTGTCAAATTGGGCCAATGTCTAATTTTGTGCTAAGGTCTTATTATTTTTTGTACAGGTGTATATGTATTACTGTTGGAATCTAGGACTTGGATTGATTAAAGGAAATACACAAAGGACTGTGATAGATTCTAGGAAATTGTACAATTGTTCATCGAAACTTGACTCATTCTTGTGAAGTTGAAGAATTTATCACTATATTTAGGAAAAAGATATCAATTTTGGGCGTATTCATATAGTGTAATGAATGGTTCAAGTTCCAATGCGAAGAAACAAAATCGCAAAGGCCTGTAGGAATGAGTGATTAATTTTAAATCATTTGAACGTTAAATCATGCATACTACAATGCAAGAAATTTAATATTATTTTTATTTAAAAATGCTTATAAAATAGGGAATTGATTAAAATTTACTTTAAACTACATTGAGCGGAGAAGTCATTTTTATGACGTCATTCGGTTAGTTGGCATCACGTCTAAGGTCACATGACAAATGTAAGCATTTCGTTTTTACACAGTGCATTTTGACAGTCCTGTCAAACCTAGGAACTATGTGAAGTGTATTAGAATTTATGTTTAGAACTAATATTTTAGGACTAACATTTAGATAGTACTGGTAGGTGAATCTAAGATGTAGATAGGAGTATATATTGTAATTTTGTATGTCCAAAATGTAAAACATTAACTAGTTCAAGTTCAAACCTTTAGACTTGGTAATAGCTTTGACTAACAATATTAGACTACAGAGTTCTCAGACAACAAGTTGTGAAATGTAAAAAAAAAATTGTGAAATGTAAAAAAAGTTAGTTAGGTTGAAAAATATTCATTCTTATTGTTTGTAAGTGTATATACTAGTAGGTAGAAAAAAAGTGTTTAACCAGTCAGCTGAGTGACATCTTTATTTTAGAGAGGAAATTAAAAACAGAAGCTGTTTTTATGGCACTTGTTCTGTCTAATTGTGTCTGGTGCCAATTGAAGTAAAGGGGTATCTGTCTGAAAAAAAAAATTTAAAAAAAATTGAATGCCTAGATAGTGTTGTATATTGGTGTATAAAAACTGCCAAGGACCTTTGTGATTCAAAACATGGCAGCAATATTGTAGGCTTGATAGGAATTGGTCTGGCATTCGGGAATCGACCATTTCTTATCAAATCTTCAATACTATAGATCTGTGATATTTAATAAGATGTGGTCTCTGTTTAAAATACCAGATAAAAGAAAATGAACGAGCACCGAAAACGATCATCCCCTGTTTTGAATTTTGGACAGTCCATTGCTAATATCAGGGGTTTTATTGTAAAAGGTGCATGCAATTGACTTATTAAACCATTTGAAATTAGATGTAACTTAAACAACAAGGGTACAAGTTGTCAAATGGTTAAAATGTCTGTCTGTCCAGCAATGAATTAATGGGTTCAAGCCATACAGAGATCACAATTTATAATTTATACTGGAACCAGTAAGATTTTTATATTACATATAAAGCTCCATAGTACCAGTATTTTTGTCACAAGTTAAACTTTCAATTTTTATCTTTCTTCAAAAATAATTTTTAATTTTCATCTTTCTATGAAAATAATTTTGTAATATAAAAGTACCAGCTAACTTCACATATGGAATAAAACAAATGTGATGGTGTTTGCATCAAGTTAGGCTAGTTGATACCACATAAAATAAGAAAATATATTGTTACAAATTGGCCTTTTAATAAGGTGTTTTAAACAGAGACCACCCTTGAAATGTGATATTTGTTGTTGTTGTTTTTATTCTCATGAAAAATATATGTATATATGTGAGAGAGATGATTTTTTTCTCACTCTTGTTTCACCTATAGTATACCATATTAGTAATTGTCATATGTAATGGCAGGACTGTATGTTATGTTATGACTGTAGAAATGGAAGTAGAGTCATAATTTGCTGAATATTTGACTTGTAGTACATGTACATTAAAGGCCCATTATGCCTCAGAAATGCTATCATTTTTATTTCACAAAAAACTTCCCATAACTATCTTTGCTTCTTTTACTTTGTTGGCAGTTGGTATAATTAAAGTGAATTAGTATTTTGTATGGAAGTGAAAATGCTACTTTGTTCACATTTTTCTATCTTTACAACACATTCAGCACTACTTTATTCAGCTCTAAATCCATTAGTAAAACATTTTTAAACAATGTTTGGCATTTCTAAACACTTCAATAAATATGGATTTCTGAGGCATAATGTACCTTTAATAAAGATAAGAATATGAAATATTGCCAGCTGGCATGAATTGATATGTATCACACATATAACACGTTTGTAAGATGCATTTTCTTACCTTTGAGATTAAGTTTAAAAAATTAAAGATCTGAAAGGCAAGTTGCTACTAGTTATTTTTAATTAAAAATTTATTTCATGTACTTACCTTAGTGTGCAGGGCTTGAAGAGGATTTTTAATATTCTGAACATGTCAATTTACAAAAAAAGAAATCAAGTTGCAGCCCTTTGGATCCTAGGCGATAATAATAATTACGCTTATTATTTGATTTATCTGTTAGCAAATTAGATATCATGAGGGACATTTTTTTCATCAGGTATTGCATTTTTACTTAAATCAAGTCACAAAGTATTTGAAATATTTTATGATTATTTATTTGAATTGATGACTCATTTATATTCTTGCAATAAATGGAATAAATTTACAATGTATACTTTTTGTTTGTTATTTTATTTGAACCAGTTTTTGTTACAATGTGGTCTGCACATAAATCCTGCAAACTCACAAGAAACGCCAACTTTTGAGTCAGTTTTCATACTTTATTCATATAGTAATTTGTCTTTTGGAATGGTAGTCAAAATGATGTACTAGTTGCCCAAGATAGGGAGACTTCCAAATTTTAATGATTGAGCAAGATCTTGGGTATTAACCACTGATCTTCTCAGCTGCCTGGAATGTCCTGTGCATCTATTCTCGGTGCTTGATTGTACGTGAATAAAACGTGTGGATCATATAAGAATATTTACCAAGTGGGATTATTCAATAAACTAATGCTGTATATAAGACTGTATGCTCAACTATTCTCAAAGCTTGACGTTAAGGAAAAGGGCTTAAGGCAGCACACCTCCAGATTCATGCTAATTTTTCATGACAATGTATTTAAAAGTAAAATATTGTGAAGTGAAGAAAGTAATTAACACATTGCAAACAACACCAACAATCCACGTAAATTCCCAAAATGAGGAATAAATACCTCTTACTGTGTTAGTAACGCAGTAGAATTATAGTGATTCTTACTGCAATATCAGTCATTAATCACATAACATTTAAATTAAATAATCAAATACTGAATCTTTTTACTTTTCTTAAGAACCCAATACATTTTTCTAAAGATTGAATTTCTTGAAATGTTTTGGCTCATCTGGAGGCGTGCAGCTTTAAAAGGTAGCTCAATTATGGGATCTGTGCCAAGTATGTTAGATAATCACAGAGTGTTTCTACCCTTTCCCTCGAGTAGTTTTGGAGATATCCACTTGCATGCTAAAAAAACTTAGCCAACCAGACAACAGGCTCTCCCTATTCTTGGAATTGTAGAGCTAAATAAATGGAGTTATTGCCTTGGAAAATGGCCTGCTATTCTGATTCTATTAGAGATTGATGACCTTAAAGATGGATGTGGAGTAGTACCTTCAGTGGTTGTTGAGAAAGGCATTGGACCATAAGTATTCTTATGTTCATAATGAGCTATAATTTGGTAAAACTCTAGGCATTGAAACATCAAAGCACAATTAATGCCATATGTAAAACAATTGTGTACATTGTATTTATTTTCTGTTTCCCTATTGCTTTAACAGATATAAGCTGAAGTAACTTAACAGCCTTTCAGTGATTTTTCACCTTTCATAACAGGACTATAAAAGGCCTTTTCCGACTCAAATATTCTTTATTTTCTCCAAATTCTGAGCTTACACCAGCTTTCTTACTTCCCAAATTAGCATTTTCTGTGGTAATTTTCCCTCCCAAAAAACAAGAGACTTAGGTTTCGAGAGAAAAAAAAAACCTTTGCGCTGGAGTGGATAGGGTTAGTGACTTCAACTGACTTGAATCATGGCAATTTGTCCGGATCCTGCCAGATATTGGATTCTTTTATGTGCAGAAGCTACCCAGCAATCTTAGGGAATGTCGGTGGTTCTGCTTTTGTGCTGCTTACATAGAGCCATACCTGAAGTCTTACTCATTGTGAATGGACTGTATTTTTGGGACATACAAAGCATGGACAATTTTGAGCATATTACAGAAATCATAGTTCTATAATTAGTCTCAATTAACCATTCCATTGTTATATTGTTAAAAACGAAAACGTTTAAATAACTTTACTAAAATTGTAATTTATTATCATTAAATACAATTAAGACACAAAGACATAAATCATTCAAAACCATGTTAAATGTAAAAAGCACATACAGGTATAAAAGTATTAACTAAAATAAGTATAAATAATCCATTCATACACAAAATAAATTCTCCATTACAAGTCTATCTTAACAATTACACATCCTAACCATATCAAAGATGATTATTTTTGACGTTTCACTTATCTTATTTCATTCACTAACAAAAACTTACAAACAAAATCCTAGCAACATAATTAAAACACAAAATACATACAATTAATTGAGTACATATCCTTTGAGCTGAGAGAAAAGAAATTAAAAAAAAATTGAATCAAAATTTCAAATATACTTTGTGTTGATACAATGTATATAAAGCAATGAGCAGATATGAAAACACTGTCCATAACAAAAGCTGTAACATAAAATTAAGTATTCATATGCAAAATGGTTTAAAATAGACTGTAGGTAGCTATTACGGTCACATTATGTCCAAAATTTATATGTAATCTGCAAAAAATCATTGATGTTGAAAATCTGCACAAAACAGAGTGAAAGAAGAACTTGAAATTTTGCACTCAAGTTTGGGCTAGCTCTACATCAAATGGAACATTTATGTTGAAAATTTAACTTCAGTCCTGTCATGCCCAAACACCTCAGTGGAGTCTCTTTAATTCAATCAAATACACAGGAAAAGGTATTGAGTACACAAACAATGTAAATACAAATTAAAATAAAGTTTTTATACTCATAAAATGCACAGAATAATAGCAACAAATAAAAATGTGTTCTTAACATTGAAAAAAATACACAAGTTATGACAAATTTAAAAAGAATAAAACATTATTTTGTTATATAAAATGAGTTAAAAGTAAAATTCTATTACAAAAGAAAATACATTTTTTGAATACTAAAACAAAAATAATTCAAACTAATTTTTCATGTTCAGAAATAAAATAAAAATCTTTCCAGTAAGTGGCGGGACACCTCTGTATGAATAAATAAAATATAAGAATACAAAGTCAAAACAAGCATTTGATAGTATTGCGGGCAATACAGTAGTCCCCTACCGGTCCCTCAAAAAGTTCTTTAATTGTCATACACTCCTGTGTATTGCCATTTATAATGAATTTGAGGATGAAGTCTGTATTTGAAAATATCAACCACAAAACATAATAAAATAAGTTTGTCTATATCACAGTAATGTGTTAAGTTTCCATGCTTAGTAAGGAAATTATGTTTATACAACCTTGTCATATTATTACGATGTGGGATTTTAAAGTAAATCCTATAAGGAATGAAGAAGTTGGAGTGAAAATACCAGTTTCTCGAAAAAAATCTAAGTTAAAGGGGGACATAATTCTGGAAATAGTCTTGCTAGAGTATTTAACCTTCTCAAAAATGTCGAGTGATAATAAGAAACATATATATGAAGTTTGAAGTAGATACATTAGGAAATAAAGAAGTTATTTAAAAAAGACAACATTTTTTCCCCTAAAAAATCTAAGTTCAAGGGAGGTAATACTGATATTTTTTGTGCTAGAGTTATAAACCTTGTCACATATGATGTGGTTGATGACCAGAAACTTATATTTAAAGTTTGAAGTAAACACCTTAAGAAATAAAGAACATATAGTGAAAAAGCTGAAAAATTTAAATCAGAAATCTTGAAATTCAGGCTATTTGTTGCCATAGCAACCAGAATTTTCAACATAGGAAGAAAAGAAAAAGATGTGCATAATCTCCAGACTGCCATCTACCCATATTTCAAGTTTCATAAAAATATTTTCAGTACTTTTTGAGTTATCACTGGATCCAGTTTATGTGTTAAATTTGCCATATTTTCAGACTATTTGTTAATATTTAAAAAAATCTAAGTTAAAGGGGACATAATTCTGGAAATAGTCTTGCTAGAGTATTTAACCTTCTCAAAAATGTCGAGTGATAATAAGAAACATATATATGAAGTTTGAAGTAGATACATTAGGAAATAAAGAAGTTATTTAAAAAAGACAACATTTTTTCCCCTAAAAAATCTAAGTTCAAGGGAGGTAATACTGATATTTTTTGTGCTAGAGTTATAAACCTTGTCACATATGATGTGGTTGATGACCAGAAACTTATATTTAAAGTTTGAAGTAAACACCTTAAGAAATAAAGAACATATAGTGAAAAAGCTGAAAAATTTAAATCAGAAATCTTGAAATTCAGGCTATTTGTTGCCATAGCAACCAGAATTTTCAAAATAGGAAGAAAAGAAAAAGATGTGCATAATCTCCAGACTGCCATCTACCCATATTTCAAGTTTCATAAAAATATTTTCAGTACTTTTTGAGTTATCACTGGATCCAGTTTATGTGTTAAATTTGCCATATTTTCAGACTATTTGTTGCCATAGCAACCAGAATTTTCAACATAGGAAGAAAAAAAAAAGACGTGCATAATCTCCATACTGCCATCTATCCATATATCAAGTTTCATAAAAATATTTTCAGTACTTTTTGCGTTATCGCGGGATCCAGTTTTGTGGACGGACGGACTGACGGACTGACAGACAGACGGACAGACAGACAGACGGACGGAGGGTAAACCTAAAGTCCCCTCCGGTTAAACCGGTAGGGGACTAATAAGGAAAAGTATGTTTAGTTTGAGGACTGTAATAATCATTCCAAGTCTAACAAAAATAAATTTCTCAGCTTTTTTTAAGCTATACACATTTGGATATGTGCAGCTTTAAAGTCCCATTAAGCCTGACAAATGATGTTGATTTTCCCCCTCAAAAGTCCATCTTGCTTCTTTGAACAGCTCAGTTTTCTTCATGTGATAAGCATATAACATGTTCTCAACCCTTTTTTACAACATAATAAAACACATGTTTTCTGTTGTCTACAGAAGAATCTGCACTTTTGAGGCCTAATGCGGGTTTAACAAAAAATAATTAAATAATTGGTCTCATTGCCAAATGGGGTGCAATGATATTTAAAATTCAGTAAACTACAAAAATTAAGAAAAAGAAACATGGTGTCTTAACAAATAAAGGAAATAAGATATATATGTTATCTGCATAGAAAATTGAGATCATTAACAAAAAGAGAAAGAATCTTGAAATCCTCAACCTCTAAAGATCTTCTATTCCATACATTTCAACTCCAACAGCCCCTGCAATTTTCCACCACTTTACTATCTTAAGATTAACACCAATCTTATTCACAATACAATGATCTGCTTGGCTTTTCAATTTTTCAGTGGTGCATTATTTTCCATTTTTTTCCAGTGGTGTATTTTTTTCTATTTTTCCTTTTTTCAGTTGTGTATTTTTGTAATTTTTCCGTTTTTCAGCAGTGTATTTTTGTAATGTTCCTATTAAGTTTCTATCGGGTTTTCATTGGAGTAATTTGTTGTTTTCTTCCAAGGTTTTCAGTCTTTTTCCATTTTCTGTGGAGTTTTCTAGGTAATTTTCCATTTTTTCAAAAAGTTTCCTTGCAAATTTCCATGGGCTTCCCAGTATGTCTTTCATTTGCTGGAAATTCTATGTTCTACATTTTAAATTCTAGGCCTTCCCTACCTGAACACTGCTTCCTTTTTTAAAAAATCTTCTTAGCATTTTCTTACAATTCAAACCTGTAAGTCACTTTTGTGTTATTTAAAAAATACCAAGGTGGAATTTAGTTTTCTTTATTTAACTGCAGGATTTCATCTCTGTGCGCATCAAACTTTTTATACATGTCATTTAATCCACAGTCGGTGTTGATCACCTGGGGAAAGATAAACATAAATAATGTACATTGAACAAATAACATCTAAAATCCTTGCAGAGAAAAACAACTGGCAAAAATGACATTCATGGTCTCCCTGTGTAATATAACTTTTATGTCTAGATTTCTTTATTTGACATTTTTTAAACTCTTTTTTTTAAAAATCTTCTTAAGTTTACAATAATGGAATAATGGGTGATAGCACGGGTGTATCATTTATTTCCTATGTGATAAGACATTGACTCAAACATCGTCATAAACATTTCCCAACTGTATGTTTTATCCTATTTCTTTGAAGATCCAGGGCTGTCGTAAAAATCATTCTCAGTAATCACACGGACAAGTTAAGAAATGCTTTACATAAAAACAGGCAAGTAAGTCAAAATCAGATTTTGGCAGCTCTTGGAGGAGAAAGGTCTCAGGTACCCTTTCCTGCATTTTTTAAGCAAGAGTAGGCACTCTAGTAGAACTATGTCCCTTCCTATAAATCAAAGTCCCTCCGTGGATTCAAACCCACAGCAGTGAGAGATAAGTGGTTTGAAGTCTGCCAACTTTACCAATTGACCTAATAAATTTAAATAACCATGTAAAATGTCTAAGACAAAAACACTAGTCCAGTGCAAAAAAAGATAACACCACTTACCAACACAGGACAAGGGGCCTTGAATTTATTTTCTTTTATCAACCAGTCTTCATGAAGATCATTCAATGATTGTAAATATTCCTGAAAATAAATATTTTTACGTAATCCTCTGCAATATCAAGGAAATTTTTCTTTTTAGAAAATGGTACAAGTATTGGCATAATCAGGCAAAAAAGCCAAAAACTTAAGTTTTTTTGGTTTGCAACCAAAAAACAAGGTTATATAAGTAGGAATTTCTTTCCTTTTTTAACTCAATAAAATCTGTGCAGCACAAAAAACATTAAAACTTTCCTGGCAGTACAATATCAGGCACTGAAAAATATTTTGAGTCACTAGTTCTTCAGGAAGAGTAGCTTCTAAATCCAATATGCAGGCAACATTTTCCTACTCATCCTGCATCAAATTCTCTTAAATTCTACTCGTAATAACGAGCGGACGAGTGGAATTTTCATTCACTGAATAAACCTAGTTTAAGTAATTTGTGCATGTCACCTAATGCGGGCAATGATTGTATGAAGTTTGTAGGCAAAACAATTATTAAAATGAACAAATGGATTAACACACAGATTATTTTTCCCATTGAGTTAAGTCAGAGAAAGAGAAGAGGCAAGCCGTTTTTTCCCCTTTTTACTTCAACACCTCAAGTATGAGAAATAGAATTTCTAATTTATATAAGAATTAAATTAATACTGTATAAAACTCACCAAGGGTACACTTTGTTCCTCATGTCGGTTTCTCATCTTAATTCTATTCTGACATGTTACAGGTTTAGCTTGCAGGTATACTGAAAAACAATTAGAAAAACATTATCTATATTCATGGAGCTAAATATACATGGAGAAGAAATTGTGACGTCACACAGTTAAATTCAGTACTGACGGAATTCTGTTCACGCAAGTTCTCATATGTGGCATGATTTTCAGAGATTTGATGCATCCTGGGTAAAAGTAGCCAAAATACCGCCATACTGAAGTCCCAGAGGTACATCGACAAAAAAGACAAATAATTTTCTACTTATATAAGAAGCAATAGTTACTTATTCTTAAATGTACAAAACACACTTTTCCATACAAATATTTCTCCGATGAAAATCCATGTCAGCAATGTAAACAATAATTCACGGATATTGCCGAAGTTTAACAGAAGCATGAAAATCAGAGATTAGAGGGAAAACCTGATGATCACGGAATGTGCAAAGGATTGTGGGTCTGAATCTGACTATCATCTATTTTCGGAGCTTCCTATCAGTTGTAAATACATCTGTGATATATTAAAATCATTCTGTCCATTACTGATGCTTATTAGCAGGGCATTAACTTTAGATAACAACATTTTGTATATCATACATGTCATAATGATTAAATAACATGGCATTTAAGGAGTAAGTAGTTCATGTACCTAGAAAATACATCTGATTACAGGCAAATGAACAAAACATGAAATAACATGTGTATTATATCAATATCAAAGTTAAACACAGAGTTGTTAAAATGTTTCCGATTTTACCCTGAGGAGGTCAAATGTTGACTTTACAGCTTTACTGGTGGAAGGCAACAGTGGCTGCTCCTGCACAATTTCAAGGTACAAACTTCAGGTCAGCTGGTCAGTAGAACCAAAGACATTCTGTTAGCCAGTTGAAAACATTTCCTGTTCCACAGAATCCAGTGTCCAAGATTGATTTGAAAACCTTTTTTGTTTGGGGACTAGTAATCTGAGCTAAGCAACACTAACCACTCGACTACAGAGGTAAGTGTAAACAATCTACTACCATGTAGTTAAGTTTACCTATGAGATCTATGTGCATGTCCTCGTTTTCTTGTATCCAGTTATACCATTCAGATAGTATGGCATAGTCCACATCAGGCATCAGACCACTAAAAGATATAAACACAATTTTATATATATTTTTTTGGTAGGGTTTAACATCGCACCAACACAGTATAAGTCATATGGCAACTTTCCAGCTTTACTGATGGGCTGCCGAGTAGAATTACTGACGTTCCGTAAGCTGGATAGCTTCCTCACATCAAAGAATTCAGGTCCCTGGTGAGATTCGAACCAACAGCGGTGAGGGGCAAGTGGTTTGAAGTAAACGATAACTGTGTTGCCCATATGAAGCTCAGACTCTTTACCTGCTGGCAGCAACAAATTCTAATTTAAATAATGGTCTACTGGTTTCAAACCTATCTAGTTTTTTAGGATTTTTATTCTTTAATTTAAATTATCTTGTAAGAAACTTTATTATACTTTTATGTTAATTTCCTCGCTTTTAAATAAAAAAGTATTCTATGTATTTTTACTTTGTAAATTTGCAGATAGTTGGGAATTAATACTGTCATTTTTGCCACTATTACTCAATTAAGTATTGCTGCTCAAATTGTGTACATGTATCCACAGCAGTAGAAACGTCCCCCCCCCCTCCCAGTAAATTCATTTTTATTACCAAAATAATTGATTTGCCTTTAATTTCATTTCCAAATGTTTTTAGATGTGTATTTACCCTTTAAACAGGTTTTCTACAAAGCAGTATCTAGCACTGTACAGTGATCGTTCAATCATCTTCACTGGACAATCCTGTAAAACAGAAAAAATATGTGAAACATTTGTTTATGTAGTGAAATCCAAGATCAAAAATTACATTTGAGGGCAAAACTTTAACTTTTGCAGCAAAAATTGAATTTATTGATGGGATTTTAAATCACACCAACACCACCTGAAATATGAATTCCTTACTAAGATAAACTGGAGCACTTAAAACAGAAAGACATACAAAAGATAATTAACACATATACTCAGAAACAAATTCAAAATTATATAAGGTGCTATTCTTAGCCAAATTTTAGTGAAAAAAAGCATTGCAACACTTCAATTATTGATCATTTTCACAATTAAAATAATTATCCTGGAAAAAAAACCGGTGTGAGCAAACAATCTGAAATTTCACACACAAGTTATTGGTCTAGAACATCAAATGGAACATTTATCTCAAAAGATCATTGCCAGTGCCGTCATGTCAAAAAACCTCAGTGAAGTATTTTTAATATATCTACATGTATTGTTGTTGATAGACAAAATTCCTCTTGTTATTAGAAACGACATGAAAGTCCCCTACTTCAGGGCCCCTGGCCCCAGTGCCTATTAGGTAATTAGGGCCCTCTTGATCTATTGATCAATTAAGACAAAAATACATGGGTCAAAGAATATCTGAACAGGTTGTTCATATAACTCAAACTGGTACCCAATAAATAATTAAACAAAAGAGTATTAAAACCAGGAAGACTTACCGTTTCTTTTCTGTGTACTTCAGCCATGGTGAGTTGCACGTAAGACTGGAATGCCAAACTCCATCGTGATGCATCCTTATACATAAGCTCCTAAGTAGCAAAAAAACAGTTAATTCAAACATGATCTTAATTTCATACTTTTGAGGGAAAAAAAACAAGGCTGATGACAAAAAAACGAAGGGTTGAGTCACACAGTAGAATCACCAAGTTGCACCAACATTCCACAGGCTACCTGGGTATCTTCCCAACATGCAAGAATCTAAAGTATCATATATTCATGAATCAAGAGTCAAAAGAATTCAGGAAACTAGTGACCTTGTGGCTTAGATTTCAGCCTATCAGCCCAAGGTTCATTATCAGTTCATTATCATAGGTGCAACAAAACTTACTCTATCTCAGTGTCACATACTAAAATGCTTACCAGAGTGTTGTATCCTTTGACATCTTTCCATTTAAAGACTGGCTCAGGGACAACCTATAATTAATAACAAGTGAAAATTATACATGAATTCAGCACAAATATTTCTTAGTCTGTAATGTGAACTATTTCTAACACCACTTTGGAGATTCACCACTTCACTCGATGTTTCTATTTCTATCCCAGCTAAAATTAAAAATATGATGAAAAACATACAGCTATGGGGACACTGACATCTAAGTGCACTAATGTGACAACATATTATCAACGTTTAAAGTAAATATCTATCTATCTATTATCCTCTTACCTCCACTTGTTTCTGCTTTCTGAAGTATTCAAGACATGTAGACTTTCCACTTCCTATATTTCCTTCCACTGCAACCTAAAACAAAGGTACATTTTTCATATTTAAGTAATTGCTTATCACTTCCAAAAATTCTATAGATGTGATCCAAACAATAGTGTCTGGTTTGACAGACTGCAGGCTTGTTACGTTGTAGCTAAATGGAATTGTTTGGAAATTAATGTATTTCACATAGCATTGTGTTTTGATTGTTGACACTTATGAGCGCACAAGGCTGCGTTCTACAAAACCACAAAGAGTTGACAGGTAAAAATGGTAAAATGATTACACTGATTACAATTTGCTGACTAATTAGTGGTTGCTGGTAACGTTGAGCAAAAGTCGCTATATAGAGAGAAAATAATCAGGGGTAGGGCTGGTAAATTCTGATTTTGAATTACTTGTAGGTTTCTATCTGAAGCATTTCTTAACTTGTCTGTTATGAAATTTACATAGTTAATTCTTGAAAATTTTCGCTTGTACATACAGGCTGTTGGACAACTTTGGCAATATGAACAATCAATTTTGCCACCCCATCAGGGGAAATTAAAAATGTTTTTGCTAGACAAAAGTGGCTTAATACATGTGGGGGCTTGAGCAAGTAAGACTGTAGTGGTGTTGTGTATTGGGAAGGGCCCCTTCCCCTGAACCTGTGAAAAAAGTCTTGTTGAAGATTCTTGTGAAAATGTACAAGCTGGCAAAATTATACTGTTTGCATATATATATATTCTTGTATTAAGTCAAGTTTTCATATCCCTAGCATGAAAAGATATAGGAAGCTAAGCTGCTTATCCCACTATCTTTTAAGTTTCAAAAATTGATGAAAAGTGTTATTATGATCCTTTCCATAAATTATGTTCATAATATTATTATATACTCACTGTGAAAGGTTTCTTTTTCTTGGGTTGTCTTTTTTGTGTTGGCTTGACATTTTCTGTAAATAGAAAATTACTGAAATTCAATTTTCTTGTAATTAAAATGATCAAAAATGGTTTATCTATTCTTGACATACAATACCACTATTTTTTCAACTACTAAGTCCCAAGTGCAACCAAGCCCCTCCCATCCATTAGGATAGAAGAAAAATGAGTCAAGTTTTTACCTTCAAATGTCCTTGTACTTCCAGGTCAACAAGCCAAGGAGGTTATGATTTTGGCACCAAATAGCCAGGGGTCCTACTAAACACTGCTAAGGAGGCACAAAGGACTGTTAAGGCGGTACAAATTAAGGACCACTAAACACTGCTAAGGAGGCACAAAGGACTGTTAAGGCGGTACAAATTAAGGACCTTAAAATACCTCCTAGGGCATTCTTAAACATATTTCAGTATGTTTAGTGATAAAAAATGTATTTTTTAAGAAAAAATATAATTTGAGTGATAGACTTTATACTTTCGATGAGTTACAGGAGCACTAAGGACTGCTAAGAGGTACAAAGGACAGATAGGGAGGCACAAAGGACCTCAAAATACCTCCTAGGGCATTCGGCAATCTCCTAGATTAGACCCCTATGTATATTTGAGGTAGAATTTCTTCTAAATAAATAACTATAGAAAACGGAATGAACCTAATATATACTCCTGGTTTAGACCCCGGGGTCTAATCTAGGATATAGCCGGGCATTCTTTTAACATATTTCAGTAAATTTAGTGATAAAAATTGTATTATTTTAAGAAAAAAAAATTTTGGTGATAGAATTCATGCTTATGATGAGTTGCAGGACCGCTTAGGACTGCAAAGAGGCACAGAGAACTGCTAGGGAGGCACAAATTCAAGTCGGTCATCTCTATTCCCTGGGGTAGAAGGGCAGAGCAATTTCTAAATACTGCAAATATACACTCCAGGAGTAGTAAACAAATCTTTCTTTTAATTTAAAGGATAAACAGGTTTTAAATTTAAACATGCTTTATGCTTCTTTAGGCCCAAAGCAGGGGTTTAAATGATCTAAAGAAACAGAACTGTCCGAGAACATGGACATATCCGATTACTTTTCACTTTGAATTCGTCCACTAAAATAATCTAAAATAAAAGATTGCCATACAATGGATAACTTAACACATACAAAACAAAAAATATCATACCAACAGATAGACTTTTCAAGCTCAGCATCTTGGAGGTAGAACTTAAAATCGATTCTTTGTGAGTTGTCTCTGTTTTGCGGGAAATTTTGCGCTCGTATTTCCCGCGTTTTTGTATAATTTAGTACATGTATCAATAAATTATATAAAGAAGCGAAATTAGGTAAAATGAAGCGACAAGGTAAACCATGTTTAAGTAACTTTATTATCCTATCAACCCCTTGCGGAAACGTATACATGTTTTAAACACGTTATTACTATGTTAAATATCTATTTTAAATATACATTGTAATTTCGGGTGCACACATATTTAATCTGGGACACAGATTAAATTAAGCAGTAATGTGCAGAAATACGGCAAAATGTGTAATGATTATGGAGGCCATCTAATCTGTTTACTGTACTGTTCGTTATAACTTTTTGTGTGAAATCATTAAACCAAAGAAGCATAAAAATATTTGCATATACGTGTATTGGGTATCTTCCAGATTCACCTAGAAAAGCATAATTTGTAGAGTTTTTGTCAACACAAGTTTTTTTTTTATGTAACACCACGGATTTACATTTTGTATGTTAATTGATGGAACTTTATAACCTTACAGAAATTTTGCATGAACTTAATAAATTTCGTATTTTCTTCATACATGCACTTTTGGCTTTTGGTCAATGTCGAGAGGCAATATGGGCGGATTGTTACGTTTTTGTTTATTATTATTATATTATTATTATTATTATTATTATTATTATTATTATTATTATTATTATTATTTGTTATTTTGTTATTTGGCAAAATGGCTAAACAATTATTTTGGTAAGTCTCTTCCTCTATTCAACTAGGTTGCAGGACGCCTGTGGTTCTATTCGGATGCTCGTTCGTGCCAGAAAAAGAAGGAACTGAGGTCTTCATTCACCTGTAAAACTGGGCATCGCCAAATGACATTTACAGTGTTGGTGAGACATAACAATCCCAATCTCAAAAATCACTACTTTTAATTTAAGTAATTATTTTGTCTACAATGGAATGTGTATCGGTCGACAGTTTGGACGTACTGGTCAAAATCGGAAAATGAAAGAATTTATTACATGTATAAAGTTTAAAGTAATTTAGAACGTTCTTCTGAACTAAAAGGACAGTGCAAATGTAAGACAAGTGACTGGGAAAGGGCGTTTGATTATTAATTTTAATGTCCGACTCCTCTATTTCAGGTGGAAGAAAAAAGACAAACTCTAATTTGATCTAAAAGTAAAAATATTTATAGTCACTAAATTATATTAAAGTACATGCGTTGAAAATTTACTTTGAATTTCTTTCTGTCATCCTAGTTTTTTATGTTAAAATAACTGTTTGTCATATAATGCTTTGCACTCTCTTTTACTTCAGTTGGATACTTTCTGGCGGATGGTCTGCTGGTACTCTGGTATTAAAAGAATAAAGAAAGAAATTATAGTATGAACGGTTTGGTTTTACTATACTCCTTCTGGCGTCCTTTTCCTCGCTAAAATGGACTTTTAGTTTACTTAAAAGACTTTTGACCTTACTTTTCATTTCTTTCTCGTCAACTTTTCCAGATAATTTCCAATCAATTTCCTTTTCCTCCTCTAATTTTCTCATTAATCTCCGCCTTTCAAGCACGCTGACAAATCTTTCACTGGTATCGTTATTGATAGAAACATCTTCCTCTGTAACATTAGATATGTCAACCACTACATCTGATATATCAGGACCATCTCCGGTACCATCCGTGTGTGTAAAGTGACCTACTTTTTCTAACAATTCGCTGTTGAAACCTTGATCCGTTGTCGGACAAAACAATTCTGAAATTGTGAAAAAAGGAAAACTTACAAAAAACAATTACATAAAATTGTGGACACTAAACGAACGAAAGAACGAACGAAAGCATGCACGTACGAACGAACGAATAAAACGAAACAAAAGAAAACAAGTAAACAAATAAATAAATAAATTAAGAAATAAATAATCAGAGGATATTCAAGTTTTTTTTTCTATAAATACAGGATTTATGTTCATTGACTGGTATGAAAGTAAATATTTCATGAGTGTCGGTAGTCCGTCAAGACACCAGTGAAAATACAGAAAATATGTTTTAATGCAGTTAAAAAAAATATAGTGAAAATACGGAAAATGAAAATACGCATTTTATTTCATCAATATTTCTCAATATTTCAATAATAAAATAAAGTGAGATGAAATGAAATGAACAGAAGAGAACAGAACACTGAACTGAACTAAACTGAACTGAAAAATAAATAAAATAAAATACCTTTCAAATAATCTGTAGATACGTTTTCCATGCTTATTTTATAAAGTCGCGTTGCTTTGTGACTTTCTCATAAAATTATTTGCTATCCTGCATTTTAAAAAGCGGCTGTCGTTTTGCGTTTGTATAGCTTACTGTCTTTTTACGCTACATTTTATGACGTCATGACGCTATTTTTGACAATAACTTTCAGGGGCGACAATTGTGGAAATTGCAATAGTTTGGAGTTATTTCCCTTTACACATGTAGCCTCGTGTTTAGATGTTCTTTCTAATTACTTAATGTGTTCGCCGATTGATTTAATAATTATGGTCAATGTATTACAAATTCTGTCGAAGAGCTTGCCCTTATTCTTTTTAACAGGTCATATGACGTTCTTCATTCATACTTTCATCCGAACGTCACGAAATCTCCGTATTTGCAAAAAATGGCGCAATTTGCAAACATTACGCCATTTGCAAAATATAAGTTCGGATAGTTACGCCATTTGTAAACATGACACCATTTGCAAACTTTACGCCATTTGCAACAACAACAACAACAACAAGAAAAAAGAACACCAACAAAAAAAACAAACAAAAAAAACAACAAAACAACACTTTATAGTTAGTGGACTGGTTATGGACTTCGAAAAATGAAAGAATTTTGAAGATATCTCTAAAAATAAAAAAGTTATGGCCATTTAAAAAGTACCCTAATACACCGTTTTGGCGCTTATGTTGAATGCGCATGTGTTACGGAAGGCGTAATCATGAAACCGCGAAAAACACGAAAATACGATGACGAAAACACGATAGGTTTAGTGATAATTATCGACTTCAAGTCGATAAATATCGCGTTTTAGTCCTCGTATCTTTGTCCTCAAGTAGATAATCATTGCCTTTTCGTTCTCGTATTTTCGTATCTTCATCATCGTATTTTCGCATTTTCTTCCTCGTACTTTCGTTCTTCGTGCTTCGAGTGGTCATCATCGTTCTTTCGCGTTTTCGTCCTCGTATTTTTTCATGTTGTAGCGTTCAAGGTTTACTTTATTTATAGGCGATGGTCCTAACGGAACACCGTAAAATCAGAATTCAAGAAATATATTTGCATTTTTATAAAATTTCGAGTTCACACACGTGTATGGTGTAAAAGTCTGTTAATCAGCATCAATTAATGCGTAGTTATACAAGAAAGGGAGTTGTAATACTTACTCTGTAGTCTGTACATAATGATTAATGAGTAAGGAGTAAATTAGAATTTTACCTCTTAAGTTTTTTAATTGTATTATTTTAAGGTTATCTCTACATGTATTTTGTTGGAAGATAAGCCGTTTTGATAGTTTTCTTATGTGTTTTTTTGTTGTTGTTGCAAACCAAATTTGATACGTAACATGTGCACGAAAGAATGCTTTTAGAACTAATTTTACTAAATTCGATTATGATTCAATCATTTTTATAAAAGACATTTCTTTTTTAAGTTTAGGTATCGGTGACAACTTACAACAGTAATTTTGATATAAGAACATGTAAACACATAACGAACATTTTAGAAAAGGGAGGTCGCAAACGATCGAGCAATGAAATAAATATAAATAAAAAATAATATGTGAAATTATCACACTCGGTTCGAATGAATCGGTTTATGGGGGTCAATGTATATCTACTCACTTATCTGGATAAGTTTGCCGCTGGTCAACACATTGGTCCATTCAGCTTAATTACATTCTGTATGATTTTGGCCTCGTGTGGAGCAAAACATCAATGTATCCCATAAACTTGCCCCTAATTTACTTACGTATGTAAATATATGTACAACGTTCTTCAAAGAAATTTTGAAAAAAGGTGTATTTTTCACCAAATAAATAAACATGACCATATGCACGTTGAGGACTGACATTTCCCAAATATAAACGCCATCTCTGGCACCAGTTTATCTGTGGGGGAGTCTTCAGCAGACCTTACTCGATTCTGGGCATGGCACGGGTACATTACATTATATGAAGATGACTGAGTCAATAGCCAACATGTACTGATCGAGAGAATGTCAGTCTAGTCCACTTCTCAAACCATATTAGAATCGCTTAACGGAGTTGGACGAATACGAATATTTCCCATGGATATTTCAGCAGTAGTTAATTGCAGCCATGGTATGCGCACGGGCGTATGATTTTTGACACATTTAAGATGAACACAGGGGTTTTAATCAACTGGTCATAATTTTTCTTCCCAGGTCCGATACTCGTGCCTGTGGTATGGGGCACATTGTGCGTAAAGGTAGGTAATCAAAACTAAAGTGTCGTTGTACGAAGATTGAGTTGTCTCCCGCAATGTAATCGTTATTAGTTTTGAATAATTAAAAATACGATATAATATTGCCAAACTCAGTGAATAATATTATTGAACTGCCTTTGATAAAACCAAATATGGCTGGTTATAAACTGTTGCATATATATCATATTGTAAAATTCAAGACGACAATTAAAACCGAAAGTAGAAATTTACGGACTGTCACCAACTCAACTGTCAAATGATTGGATAACGTTGTGACAAGACCCGCCCCCATTACTACATGTACAGAGGCGGTTTACTTTGATCATCAAGGTAAACTTTAGTAAAAACAGCTGATTGAAGAGACCGTCACATAGTGTGTGTGTTTTCACTGCTTTTTTGCATGTATGGATTAAATTTTGCCCTTATAATCTGGCTGTCATGTGTAATTATTTGAAATGAAATTTGAAGGAAAGAATAATTCATGCGAGGGAAATGGTTTATAACGTGTGCTGGGAGCAAATGGATCAACTTGAAGGTAAAGTAAGATTATATGACTATATAACAGTACTATATTGAAAATATATGCGGCAGTGTACACAAATAG